ACCTTGCAGTAGGGTGAGAATGCAAAAGAGGATAAACGGTAGCACAAATCTATGAGTTGTCGATTATACAAAAGTCAATTGTACTAATTAATTTCACACCGTGGAGACAGAATTCCACAGGGAGAACAGGAGCCCAATACCTTTAAAAGCCTAGAGTCCAGGTGGGGTAGTGTTTAAACTTTTCCAAATAGAAGTTTAATGTTCTTTGTCCGATATAGGGGTTTTTTTAGTTATTACCGGTAGCATTTTCCAGGTTCCTACATCATTGGGTGTAAATTATTTAAAGCTGCAACTTTAAGTCCACATGTAATCACTGGGAGTCTACAACTCTGAGGATCACATGCAAAATTGTAATTTTGAGATAATACAAATTTGGCAATTGTCATTATGGCTTAATAAATACATATACTGTAATACAACAAGTATTAACACAAGTACTGTAGCCTAAATAGAAATTAGTTATCCTGACAAATAAAATAATGGGAATCCCTCTGCAATCTTCACCATAAGACTCCCAGTGACTCGGGACATGAACTCAGGATTTATTTTGAGACTGGATAGGTTTAATTAAAATATGGGTCTGGAATGTATTGAATAGCTTGCTGAAATCATAACCAATACAATAATATTTTTCCGATCACTTAAAGTTCATAATTTAACCTAAAAAAATAGAGGAAATGTAAGGAGTTGCCGTTGAGGCCAAATTCAAGGTTTGCCAGGCCTCATTAGGTATCCAAAGTGAATAGCGTGGGTTAACCTGAGGGGTAGTCGTGATGTTTTGCCCATATTAGAGTAGCCTATAAAGTGCCTTCACTAACCTTCTCCTTTCCATATCTTGAGGGTCGTTTCCTGGCAGCGTGACAGTGACACCAGTAGGAGCAGCGGCGAGGTCAAACTTTCTCACAGTCTTTCGGCAAAGTCCGATCCGAACTAATCCGCTGTAAACTGTATTGCTCACAACACCAATTGGCGGCTGCAAGACGTTCGGAAAGAAGCTGAAAGTTGGTTGACTCATTAGTGGTATTTGTTAGTAAAAATTTAAAAACGGTATGGTTGTTTAAGATTAAACTATTTGGAGTGGGAAGTAATAACTTAGTTACAGTAAGACTATGACCAAACCAGTTAACTGACTTGCCTCTAAAATAACTACATAGCCTACTATGTAGAGCACTCTAGAAATCAACCAGTTGGCTGTGTTAGGCAGGTTAACTTATCTTCTTGGTTAATCAGCATGAAACTTCCATTCTAATTTCATCTAACTTAAAAATCTATTGTTATAACGATACAACAATTTGACCTGTCTTACTCGGAAATTGAATTTTATCATGCCAATATGACCCTTAATTGGACTTCTGTTGCGAGTTCGATTAGCTTGTAAAGTAAGGCTTTTTAATCCTGAGAATTTATTGATGAAACTATTGTTTACATTTCATAAAAACATTTAGGCGCAAGTCAAATATGTCAATTGTTATGTTTCATCAAATCATATCACTAAAATAATTCAGTCTGAATTTGATTGTATATTAACTTAAGTTGGTACCTATTCATTGTTACAGGCAAGCAGATCTTTGATAAAAGCCGACTAATCCATCAGCTAAATTTATTGCCATAGGCTAATCAATTTTTCTTATTGATCAAAGTTAAGTGATATTTAAGTTATGAGTTACCGGCAGGATCTAATTCTATATAGGGCCTAACCAATAATAACTTATATATTATGTAACAACAGTAATATATATTTTTTATTGCAATAAATTCATGTCATTGGGATGAGTAAGATTAGATTAAGTTAACTTAGTTTCTTTTATCTTTTTTAGATTACAGTAACTTCCTTACTCTTTGAAAGAAAACTTTAGCAGCGGGTAGGGTTTATGTAAGATTATTGAAAGTAGAATAGTCATAGACAAGTAAGTACAATTAAAAATACTAGGCCTAATAGTTTTGGTTTGATATTACAATAGAGTCAGATAACTTTAAGTCGGGACCACGAGAGTCTGCAGTTGAGGGAGGAGCCTATTTACCACGTGACTCCGAAGGAGCCAATGAGGACAGTGTGGTGTTGCTAAATCTAATAATACCAGCTGATTTGAAAATATTGTTTAGTATTTTAATTCACAGAGGACACCCGGACGTGGTTTAGGCGTCCTAAACCTAACCAACCAACCACAACGTCACACTAGCCTTGTCTTGTGATTGGCTGCCGGGAACTGCAGATTCTCGTGGTCCTGACTGTGTAGTAAAGTTTTGTTCATAGGCCTTCATCATTGGCAAGTTGAACTAACCTTGCAAAAGTAAAATTGTCTGCCATATCCCCTCTTGATCCATTTGTGTGATACTGATAGAATCGCAAATATATCCAACTAACAAGAAGTCCAGATGCAAACATAGTTGGATTAGTTCTTTCACACAACCCTAACAACCACAGGCAAATATAAATAAATAGAATCAACATAGGTATGTTCTTGTTTGATATCTTTCCCAAAGGCGTCTTTGCAATCAAATGGTCAGGCATAATTTGCTTTACAGCGACTGAAATTCCTGCTATGTATCCTGAAAGTCCATGGATCTGAATTGAAAACAACAAGTCTGTGTTAAATGTGCACATGTACAATAGCAAATAAAATACCGAGCTTAACAAAGCTACTCCTACATTGACAATTGCAAAGAAAGTCATCATTTCGAATGCACCCCATAGTGGTTCAATTAATTTCCCACACAACCCTACAGTAATAATGTCAACACAGACTTCCCAAAAATGAATTTCCAAGAAGCAAAATGTAAATGCTGTCCATATCCAAAACACTGGAGGTAGAAGGAAACCTGGAGTTACACTTATAACTTTCACAGCCTCTTCAGAAAATGACAAAAAGTACGTAACAATAACAGCAACACAAATAAACTTCACAAATACACTGGTGTTCCCTACGAGAGCTAATAACTGTTGTCTTATATATGGTAAATTCCTATTCAAAACTTTCATGGCCGCCATGTTTACTTATCTTTATCATCAAACTAGAACGACTAGAATAACAGAACAGAACAACAGCAGCAAACGCCAAACACTGTCGACTGTCGAGTCGAGCAGAAGACGAAAACAAGACGAGAAGAAAGTACAGTAGAGAAGTGGAAAGCCATAGACTAACGTAATGCTTTGAGCCAACACCACCAATAAAATCTCAAGTTACATATATGTAGAGGATTATTCGTTGAAATCCGATTTCAAGAACAACCACCCTATTAACTGGTATTATACTTTCGGAACCAGCCTTTAGTATCAAAAAGTTATTGTAACAACAAATATATATATGGATATGTTAATTATTTTGACCCTTCCTTACATGAGTAAATGATGAGTTTAGGATGGGAGAGCTAGCTATGTAAGTTTGTCATTGACTAAGATCAGCTGTTTCTTAAGCTTGGACCATTGACACACGGCCAACGGTGACCTTTAACTCCAGGCCGCGGCCTTCGAAGTGGCAACGTCTCAAGTAGTCTCAATCATGTCCCAATAATCTTTAAAAACATTATCACATGAATTACCACCTAAACTTGCACTTTAGCTTGGCACGGCATCCCCCGAGGCACCGAGGTATCACCGTCGTCTTCTATGATCGTGGCAAATTCGTGAATACTGCCCGTAGTCATGGAAGAAACATTTATCATAGTCTACCGTGATTGCAACCAAACCTTTGACATCTTCAGATAACAACATCATCGTCTCCCGCGTTCACGGCCCAATCCCTAATATCTGCCACGACTCGTGGTGACGGGGAAATCTCTCTCGGAAAAAGAAAGGTCATTATCTTCTTCCGCAATCGTGGCAAAATATTCAATTAACATCTCCTACGGCCTTGGAGACATCATCATCGTTACCCGCGGGTAAATTCTCTCGTCGATCCACGATCGTGGCAAAAGGTCACGGTTCACGGGCCACGGTGCCACCTAGCTCGCGAGCCCCTCCGCACCGCGGGCCCACTCAACGAATAAAGTTTCCTGCACACCACAGAATACCTTGTGCTTCCAGGGTGGAAGGAAAAAATGTAGGTGTGTGCTATTCCCGTCATATGCTGACGTCACCCAGCTTGTAAACACCATTTCACCTTTTGGAAAAAGTTATAAAAACAATAACAATCAAATCAAAACAAATATACTCATGTGGCAATAGGTGATTGTTTTGCACTTCTGGTGACATCAGCATATGACGGGAATAGCACACTTATGTTTTTCCTTCCACCTTATACCAAGCAATAACTACAATTTTATAAATAACCTTTTATTCAATGGGTGGCTAAACTTTATTAAATCGGTATTTACTCAGGGGAGGTATAGAAGAGGCTACAATGACAGCTGTGGGCTTCTTATTAGCTGAGGGAACGCCATTACCGTAACAAAACAATCGGTAGACGTCGGCCTCGGTGGTCTAATGGTTAGCATACCGGGTTGATATACTGTAGGTCCCGGGTTCGAATCCTGCTGGTAGCATTAACTTTTTGTCCAAGATTTTTTTATCATCAGCAAGTTTGGTTGGTTTGGTTCGGTTATTACAGTTTAATTTTATTATTAAGTCATTATAAAATTTTAATTGAGCAAATTTAGTTTTATTTAATAAACAGAATTATTTTTCCGATTACTAAACTTTTGTTATATTATTTCTTTATCAGCAAGTTTGGTTAGTTCGGTTAGGTTATGATAGTTTAATTTTATAATTAAAAAATTATAAAATTGAATTTGAGACATTTATAATTTGATTTTATGAACAGAACTATTTTTGCGATTAGTAAACCTTCATTGCCAAAGTGCTCTCTACTACAGCGCTGTTCACGGAGGAATTTTGAACTAAATGCCTCATTCGTACCTCCCCTAAGTCAGACCCTATTAAATCTAAATTTGATCAGCTGATCTTTTCATTTTGCTATGTTCCCTTGGATTGCGGAAAAGAAGGAACAAGGATTTGAAAAAAAAAGGAATAAATGGGAATGGTGGAATGGGAAATGGAATCCAGATATTGCTTTCTGCTAGGGCTAGGTGTTGGTGTTAGATAAAAGAGTTAATTGTTTTGATTACGGCAATCAAATTCAAATATATTAACATGTATTAAGTAAGTTGTATTGTATTGTTCAGTTTTATTACTGTAGTTATGCTAGACCTATTTTCACTTAACTTTATTATTATTTTATTGTCAATCAGTTGTAAATAAGTACGGTAGCCAATGTTAAAGATTTATACCTAGTCTCAGGATCAATATTTGTTATGCTGAAGTTTATGATGGAATTTCTTAATGTCTATAGATAGCTACACAAAATTTGAAACTTTCATAACTTTTTAAATTAATAAATGATACAATTTATAAATGTCTAGCTTAGAGGTTCAGACTTTGTAATTTTATGGATTAGCCTATTACAATAAAGAAGTTTTTTTTTTGGTATGGGCAATTATTTAATATTCAATAATGCAATGGTATCCGTGTCGGATATAAGTTTCGCCATTGATCCTTAGGTAGCCTTCACATTCTTAGTCTAGTATGTTACTATTACCACAATTACCGGTAGCCTCCTAGTTTGAATTAGGCCTAGGCCCTACCATTTTGATTGATCTGCCAACACATGTAAGATGTAGTACGGTATGTGTTAGATCTCTATATTTATGCATTTAACTACTCGGCAAAATAAGTAAGCCTTTCACTCGAGGGGTGAGACTAAATAACTGAATACCCTCCTCCTATTTTGTTGTTTGGAACTGGAACAGTAAGTTACAAGTAGGTAGCCTATAACAAAAGAACCTCAAAACTTATTTATTTATTTATTTCCAAAGGACATCTCCATTTTACAGCCATACAAATCAAAACATTTCAACTCAGGATGGCTTAATTAATAATACAAAATTTTGTGCTTATAGACTAGAAATACAAATCAACAATATAATAATGATCTAATGACAAATAACAATGACAAACCTAGCCGAACAAAACAAAAACTGACAAAATAACCAAAGGTATAGGCCTACTAATAAATAAATAATTTAAAACAACAACAATAAATAAATAATATAAAACAACAACAACAAACCCACAAGCCAACAACCAATAACAACTGAGAAAGATAAATATATAGACTAATATAAAATCAAATTGACTAGAGAGCAACGACAAACCTATAGTTAAATGCAAAGACAAAAGTGAATTATTTAACAGACAAGTAGTATTTGTACTAGGCAATTAACTGTTTAAAATTGTTATAAGTGATATCCAAACATGTTATCCACTATCTTACTTAAAAGTACTTAAGCTAGGGTAGGCCTACTAATAAATTTAAGATTAATATTCTGGTTATATTTAACAATTATCTGCAACCTTTATTTTAGGTAGGCTAGTAAATGTTACCTACTGGCAGTACGTAAGCTCAGGGCTTTACTATGACTGAAGAATCCGACAGCTTGGAATTGTTTGAGTTAACTCGAGTAGCGTCTGCTGCTAAAATATGTCTGTCAACATTCAATGGCATTCCAGGTCACCAAACGGTTGCTTTGGTGTTGGAGTAAGTAAATTTTAACGTTTCCTTTCCTAAACTAGATACCTTAAGTGTAAAGCTTGTGTGAAACTTGAACTTATATTTTGAAAGGTAATTAGCATCTGTTATCAATACGGTACAGGTTTGTAATGTTTGTCAAACGAGCCTTGTTCTGTTGAGTTACCTATACAACCATTAAAAAGTAAATCATTCTAAACTACCTACCAGTCTTGGAAATATAGGTAGTGCATAGGACATCAAATAATATTGATTTCACCAACAGGGTTAACTACAACACTAGTGTGCCAAAATGTGAATATAGTGTATTTAACTGTAAATGTAGTAAGAACGCTCATAACATTACAGGTCCATAATTTTGAATTTCATTTAAAATTTTCTAGAACACATTTCTCAAATCCTTTTGAGTTAGCCTAGCATTTGATTTCTTTACCCACCAATGTTTAATTATATGCTCTTTAAATTGCAGATCAGGGGATGTTTTGTTCTACCACAACCCTCCCGCTGGAGATACTCCTGTTGTGCGATGTGTCCCTTGGTTCGAAGACCCTCAGAAGAGGATTGAGTCGGCAACATTCGATCCCGCCTCTGGGAATTGGCTGCTTGTCGTCTGTAAGTAATGAAAAATATTTGCAGACTGGAGTGTGATGCCTTTTGTAGCTTTGTTACTGACTAAGAACAGCTGTTACATTAGTCAGGACCATTAATTGAAAGCCCAACAATCAAGGATTAATTAATAAACAGGCTACTTGCAAAAGCTCTGCCTTAAAATTTAAAGTCTGGGGCTCCAAGATGATATTGAAACGAGACTAGAACTACTAAAGAAAACCATAGTACACTAGATTATATACAGCATTTTGTATGCAATTTGAATAAATTTGGTACTGTACAGCAGTGTTTCTGTGATAAAAATAGAGACAGACAGACACCTAATTGTAATTTAAACTAAAGTTAAAGATTTTTCATAGTACGTAGTACCTCAGTAAACTGAGATTGTTCACTAAACTGACTCAATTCTAACAAAATATATGTCTCCTACTATATTGAATCCAAGGCTGCCCATCCAAGCAAAACCTTTTGCAGAACTAACTTACTATTTTTTTTTAATGCAATAAACAAATGTATAAGCCTTGTGTCTAAGGACCTTTGTTATAACCTACAACGCAATGGAGCTAACAAAACTCTTTCACTCTCTGATTCACTCTACTCTAGTCAGGGACGGATTAGAGACCCACTAGTCATATGAAAAATAGTTTCAAACAGAGCGTTAATTAACACAACCGTGTTGAGAATTTTGTTAAGATAGGCAATCAAAAATTGATGATCACATCGTGATTGCGGGTGATTTTTAAGGTTTTTTTGCAAACTCTTCAGATTTTCACAATAATTCCACCATGAACGTGGGTAAGATGGTCAAGATTTGGCCATGACCACAGAAGATGCTTACGACTTTGCTGTGACTACGGAAGATGTTCACTATTTCCACATGACCACGAGAGATGTTCATTATTAAGCTGTGAACGCATAAAATATTTTTATATTATCGTGACCGCAGACAATGTTCACGTTTTTTTAAGAGTCTGGTTTTTATGTGCTATCAGAGTTTGATTAGCATTTACGAAAACAAACACAGCTGGGTGTCTCTATTACAATGAAATGGCACTAAAATCATGCTTTCAAAGTTGAATTTCAAAATCCACACGTAATTCCTGGTTTTACCAAGTACCTACAACAAAAAACAACAATTGTGAGTAAAAATGCCTAAATCTGCTAGTTAATCAATGTAATTAACCTATATCCACAAAATTTTCTTAGGGGACACACCCAGATCCCCTTTTAACTGGGAGGTGTGCCCTATCCCCCAGTTCCGTCCCCACCCACAAAATAGAACCTCTGACTCTATTAGCCTAACATTTCTGTATAACCACGTAGGTCACGATGGCTCGCTGTACCTGGTACCAACCCAGCTGCCGTCCAACTTGGACACTCGGGATTGTGATTGGTCAGTGGATGACATCACAGCTCTGCCGCCAATCTGTGGTGTCAAAATGGCCGACCTGTGTCCCACAGCAGTGGCCTGGTGGGACAGAACACTGACCGATGGGCGATGCCAGTGAGTTTGTGTTGGTTTGAAATTTTGTTTAGGAATAGATGTTTTTATTCAATTGTTGTATATTTGAAAATACATTGGTCAAATTGGACACTTGCAAAAGTAAATTTAAGAGAATTCCACAGTAAAAAATCTAGAATGCCGCACATCAAAATCTTTTAGGATTCCTAATGCAAAAATCAGAAAGTTGGCAGAATTTTGTAATAGGTCAATAAATTGTACAAGTTCCCCTGTTGGCTTCGTTTGTAAGGTTCAACATCCTTCAAGAACAATGGGTGTGTATTATGAGCTATAGCATAACCGTCTAAAAGGAGGAGAAACGAGAGGAATGCTCAAGAGTGGACATTAGGAATTAAAGCTCCCATCTGATTAGTTTCAGTGCCTTTATTTCTAGCAATTGCCTCTATTGTTCGTCAACTAACGATGTATATTTACAGGATTATTGTGATCGTCGGAGGTTCCAGAGGAGGAATCGTGTTGGCAATGCTACGTACTGGCTGTGTTGTTGGTCGCACTGCTGTCGAAGGAAGTGTTACCAACATTCAAGTCTGCAAAGACGACACTTTGCTCGACAATCCTCCTGTGTTTCTCCTGGTTAGTATCTGTGTTTTTACTTTTAGCCTACAATATTCTGTTTCTATTTTTCTAATTCGTCCCACTCCTAGTTGGGTGTTTCATTTTTCTTTACAGATTGTTTTGAGCTGCATATATAGTTTCCTCCTAAAACGAAACTTATGAATTTTTAAATTTGCATCCATCATAGGCTACCTGAATACTGGCATGAAATATTTAATTCTATTTCATTGTTGGTATTTTGAGAATAATCGCCTCCGTTACTGTGATGCTGTTTTACAGATAACCAACGAGCACAATATCCAATGGAAGCTGGTGTTGGAGGATAGAGAGATGGGATACTCGTGGCCGTTGCCCTCTGAACCTTCCAGAGCTGAGTCGAACACCTCGCTGATCAGGTGACTGACTGTAAAAGTATTCTACCAAAAGAAGAGTAATAGTGTAGTATATCAGTTTGTAGAATGTTTTAGAATTTAGAATGTTGGACGCTTCGAGTAGAAAAAAACAAACTTATGAAGGTTTGTTACTGACTATGAAAAGATGTTTTTTTAGCCAGGATATTTTATTAAATCCCAATTATCAAGGACAGGCACAAAGTTAATGAAACTGTTTTATACTTGTTGTGTTATCCCAGTTTCAAGAACTTGAATTAGAATGTTTTTTTTTTGTGGTCGGGACTTTCAAAACTACAAATACAAACTATTAGCTCATGAATGCAGGAAACAAAAAAGGTAGTAGATACAATCTGTTCTTAAACTGTATTCCCTTACTTACTACCCTAATATTAGGTAGCCTATATACGTATAAACTACGGTAGTTTTTATCTCCTGAACTTACAAAAAAACTATTGAAATCTACAAATAAACTTTCCTATAAATCTTTCAACCATTGTTACTTACAAATTAAGATTTCCAAAATGTTTCAATTACATGAAATTCGTACTGGACGCTAAGTAAAGTCACGGTTCTTTTTCTCTTTAAATAAAAACCTTTAGGAATAACCTATTTTGGATTAGCAATTAAACTAAAATATGTAAAATACTTAGCCTAATAATCTTGAAATGTAGATTAACTCTTAGTTGCTTACAGTGTAGTAGGGTCTGAGGAGTCGGTTGTTCGACCTTCTATGACAAGCTTTCCCCTGGCCCGAGCTAGGCTACAGGGTCTCAAGCAACTGTCAGTGGAGAAACTGGCTACACTTCGGCAGAAACTCTCGGAGAGTAGGAACAGGGGAGTGACTACTTCTGTCATCTCTGCTAAAAGAAGAGGTAAATACTACTTTTTTTTCTGTCAAACTCAAGCTCGTAGCTATTTGTATGATAGTGACGTTTCCTCATACCGCTTAAGTCAGTTTTTTTTTGTGTTAATCTGAGCCTAAGATGAATTTTAATACTTTTTGAAACTGTGCTAGTTTGATTACTGACGCCATCAGCTCTGAGTTCTATAGTGTTAGTTCAAAAAAAGGACCTGTGCAATAAATAACCCAGGATAAATAAATGAATTAGACTACCATATTAGCACTGAAGTTTTACTCAAATAACCCACAGAGCAAAAAATCTTAAGAATCATTACTCTTAGTTTAGTTAACTTAGAGTTAGTTTGTTAACTGAGAAGTTTAGGCTAATATAGGTTACCTTCCACAAAATACAAATACGCAAATATGACTTGGAATATTTAAATTTCATGAAATTAATATTCAAAGATCATAGAAGTGCGGTAGAACTTACCATAAGACCGAGTCAAGGGCAGATAAGGATTTGACTAAATAAAGCAACCAATTTTGTAAAAGACAATTTCACAACAATTAACGTTAAATAGAATTTATTAATTCTGTTGAAAAAAAGGAGGAAAACAGTTTAGATAATTTCTTTACAAAACAATCAAGTTAAATCACTATGCTACTGAACCACCATGATCACTGCAGGCAGTAGCAGTAGTGAGGAGTCAGTGTCCAGACAGAGGTCTTCAGTTTCGTCTGACAGCGAGTCACTGAGTGGGGCCGCTATTCTGCCCAAGCTGGAACTACTGAACGAGACGTCCCTCTACCTACAGACTGCAAGAGGGAAGCCGGTAATTGTTGGCCACTACGCTCCTGCACACATCGTTACGGTATGAACTTAAATATGCTATGCTTTTTTATTGAGTTTCAATAGCAAATGTTTAAATTGAGTTTCAGCATGCCTATACAAGTATGCTGGCGGCTCAACACGCCCGTCCAGCTTAGCTATGGTTTAACATGCCCATCAGGTGTCCCACGGACTCTTAAACGCTCATGGGAGGTGTACACAATGAAAACAGTTTTGCCTTAAGAAGGACCATAAACAATTTCCAATCCTTTGTGATTTGAGTAGATTTAGTTGTCATTGTAAATTCTCTAATAAAAACCTAGCTTACTCCTTGTTAAATGAGTTCAAGCTATAAGTTAGTTTTGTTTTGAGTTTGTATTATTGCATCGTTTTACCTATTGTACTCCATTGTTATCTTTAATACATATTTCAGTATTTTCTGTGAAATAACTTGTCTAGGCAGTATTATTCATGTGTGTATATTATAATTTTCGAGTAAAGTTGGCGAGTCATGGAAATCAATGGGAAATGGTCATGGATAGTCATGGAAATTAATGACAAAATTTCTGTGGACACCCTGTATACTTTAGGCTACTCACCAGGTTTACGAGTGTTAGGTATCAGTTTATAAATTATAGGAATGTTCATTGAGGTAATAGATAACCAATTTTCAACCCTGTGGACAGGTGTATGGGGTTGGACTGAATCTCAGCCCCATCTCCATACACAGACTGCCAGGCCCGTGTGGTCTGGTGAGACTGACGGACTGGCTGCTCTACGTGACAGACCTCGGCTGTCGACAGCTGTCGGTCGTCTCCTACCGCATGTCCCAGTGTCGCATCGACAGCGACAAACAGATTCTCAACAGCGTAAGTAGAATAAATTATTTTTAGAAAATTTGTTAAACATTGTAAATTTTATTGTGTCTGTGAGTTTTTATTTTTTGTAAAATATTAAACAAATTCATTGGGCTTAAGCGAAGGCTGTTATAGGCCGGTAAAAGTTGGACCAATGAAATTTGCAAAATACATGTCAATATCAAAAACTACTATAGTGACCATACACTAATCAACTAAACGATTAAATAACCCAATACATAGATCAAATTCATACTCACGCCAATGAGTGCAATGGCAGGTTGCTAATTAAGTATGTTCAGCTTCTGATTCATAATATACTGTGCTCCTATTAAAGCTCTTACTCTATCAAGGCTTAAGATAAGACCAAAGTCGTAGAACTGCCACGTCGGCTCTCCATCCTTAGAAATTTCTAGAACTTATCACGTGGATGCTTTGTTGGGAAACTGGCTTATACTACGGTAAAAAGTTTATTCTGGTAATAAAATCAATAAAACATTTAAGATCACTTGTACTAAATTCTAGAGCCAAGATTTATGTTTATACTGTAACAACGAAAGTTGTAATTCCAACAAACCGCCAAATAATACTTAAGTACAGTACTTAAGTAAGTTTAATCAACAAATAGGGTATTTGGGTCAAATTATAGGTAATTGGGAGAGAATATAGCCCAACCCACAACTACAAACGTTTAGTAATTAGATTATATGTTTGAAATTACTCTTTTAGGACCTGTAATATGTAATAGTAGGTAGTTGTTGAATCTTTTTTTTCTAGGACGCTAGGCACAAGCCCGGGGTTGTTTATCACATTACTTAAGGCTAGGGGTTGAGGCAATATCATTTAGATAAAAAAAACCCATTGGTTATTTGGTGGGATTTGAACTCGAGACGTCAGGGATCGTGCTCTAACCACTAGACCAGCTCGCTCCCCCAATTTTTTTGTAGTTGAATCATGGATATCATAGCAATCATAAAGTGTATTACAAAATGAAAACGAGAAATCATAATCAAGCATTAAGAATAAGTTAAAGAGACACAATTTAATGAATGTAAAGGATTATGACTCACCTATATTTTCCATGAAATTAATCCATTCTTACATCCAATTACTTACTTTTTACATTTTAGGAAGTGAACCCAGACTCATTACTACAGCAGTTCTTTTTTCAAGATGGGGAAGAAATTCAAGCTCTCTACAGGATAACACCAAACTTAAAGGCAAGGATGTTTATTTTGATTTCGTTTTTTATACAGACAAATTATTAGTTTACAACTAATTCTTTGTGTGCTGACATGATAGCTTTTAAACATGTTACAGCAGTTTTAGCATCTTAGGCTGATAAGATGTATTTTTTTGTTTTTAAAACGTTTTTAATTAACTTTGACTTATCAATTATTGTCATGGGGACGCCACCTGCGTATTTTAACCTAAATATGAGTGTAGAATGGTGTGAGATGATCTGTGTAGCTTTGTTACTGACAATCATGCTGTTTCATTAGCCAGGATCATTTTTTTTAAGCCCAATGATCAGAAAAAGCTGGGTCCACAAACCATCAAAAAGCTACTGACTTTTCTCAGGATCGAACCGGCGACCTTACATCATATTTTGTGGTTGTTACTGACTTGCCTATGACTGACTGTGTAGCTGAGTGGTTATAGTGCTCGTCTAACAATCAAAAGGTTGCCGGCTCGATCCTGAAGAAAGTCAGTAGCTTTTTGATGGTTCGAAACTGGACCCAGCTGTCCCTAATCATTGGGCTTTATAAGTTCAAAAAAATGTAAATCTAAAATGCTCCTGTCATCTTTTGGGAAAAACTAAACTCTGACATTTTGTGTTCATGGATATATTTTGATCAAATTTTACAAATTTATTTATTTCGTAGTACCGGTAAGCTATTAACGTTGAAATATAAACACACTTTATTACCATCCATGTGGCAACAAACCTAGGTACTCATTTACTCAGCAGAGGTCGCATTGAATTGAAAACATCAGGAGGCGAACACAGTCTTTTTGACCATGTTCAATGACATTTACTTGCTGAGGCATGAACAACCACTTGGATCTGTTTTTTAGGATCAAAATGAAAAGTTCTTTGGCCGATTGGAAGAGGAGACGACGAACCGTAAGAAGACCTACAAGAGCAACAGAAGCAGTGGTTTGGCCGAGCAAAGTCCGTTAGATCAATGTGCCGTAGTCACCAACAAAGCTGTCTACAAGGTTGTGATGAGGTTGGTTTGTTGTTACTTGAATGATGGTTAACCTGTTACTATCGTAGCTGCCAAGTCATAATGTTATGCAAGGAACTTTATTCACGTTGCCCAAATGCATATATTTGAAGTGTACACTTTAAAAGATTACTCCAAATAACACTGATATTTCGTATTCAGTGTTGAACTTTTTTATAGAGTAGACTAATGAAATATCTTCTATTTAGCGAAATATTCCTTTATTATGGTGGAATAAAGTTTTGCAAACTCGGCTCTCAATAACCTGGTACAGATTTTACTTATTCTTTTTACTTAACAGAATTCCTCAGAACTTAACACTGGTGCCACTTTTTATCCTAGATCCTAGAGTATTCAAACTAAAGTATTCATTCATTCATTCGGTATCTTCAATTTTCACACAATACATTGTCTTTACCATTTGGACCTAGCGCTACTTTACCTTATCTTATACAGTAGAACCTCGATTATCCAGGGTAGTGGGGGGGAGGGAGACCACGGATAATAACTGAAACTATGGTTAATCCAACATGACATACAAAAAACCATAAAAAAGCCTAAAACTTAATGTGATAATTTGCATTTTATTACATCATCAAAACACAATTAGTAGGCTATTGCACAATCATGATATTTCAAGTTATTAACCTTGTAATAATAACTGAACCGTTTAAATTACAGCTTACTGAAACTTTTATTCAAACAAAAAAAAATACTGAACACCGTACAGCAATAAATCATGTAAAGAACAGATTAATAGAAATTGTAGTACCTACTGCTACATGCTGTTTCTGGGCAGAAGAATGTTGTAATGTTGATAAAAACATCAGATAACTCATAAAAGAGTATAGAACCATAGTACTTAACGATAATAAATTTGATTAAGATAACAATGACATAAAAACATTGCTTATTCTTTCTCTTTATTTTATTCTTTTTTCATACACACATTCAACAAATTATGACAACTTGTTGAATGTGTGTATGAAGAACCATTGCAACTTTGGTAGCCTTTGGTTGGATGATTGGTCTTAGTTTTTCCTCCTTTTCTCAACATGTGGCATTCCTCAAACTCTGCATCCTTTCACATTAGAGTTTGTGGAACTGTACTGTACTGTAGTTGATTCACTGTCACAGGAAATCTCCCCGAGAGGTGGTGTTTGCGTGTGTGATGAACCCCAACAAGTTGGAGCGTGCGGAGCGGCTGTGTCACATGTTCGGGCTGGACCTGCAACAGCTGTTGGAGACTGCTGCAGAAAAACAGCTGGAAGCCGGACAACTGGACAGTGCTGTCACTCTATACAAGCTAGCTAGGGTGAGACTGGTCGATAGTCAATAACTTTTAGGAAATTGAAAAGTTTAGTAATTAAGTTATCTTAGTGTTTTTTCAACTGTGTGAAATTTGATATTTTATCAGATATTTATGTGGCTATTTTCAATGTATTTCACACAACTGAGTGGTGAGTGGTTTTCACGGGTACAGTTACGCAGAGAACTTAAGATGTTATCGAATGAATTATTAGTTTAATATTTATATCTTATCGGATGTAGTTTTCAGGTAATACAAATAACGATTAAAGGTTTTTTAAAAAGACTTCTTTCTCTTTTCACTGTGATGCGGCGGTTAGGTCAGGTTAGCTTAGCATAGTTTATGATAGAACAAACAAGGTAACATTTATAAAAATAAAAGTTGATATATTGTGTAATTTATTAAAGAGAAAAATTTACAAAGACGTCAAGTTGTTTTGTAGGCCCTACTATCCTCTTTTTTCATGAGTATATTGTGTTGTAGTGTCGACCAGTGAAGAGTGTGCTACACATGGCCAGTGCTGGCTTTACTCAACAGCTACTGGCTATGACGACGGGTCTTCTGCAGACGTCTCAGCCGTTGTCTCAGACCGAGAGTCTCCATCTTGCAAACCTCAGTGTCTTGACGTTCACAGAACAATGCTTGCGTGCCAAGAGCTCCGATAACATCATGACCCAGTTCAGGTTAGTGTTTAAACCAAGATAGTTGTCAATGCATATTCAAATTCAAATATATTAATTAAAGAAATTACAACAGCTTGGCCTCACCAAGTTTAAAAAACTTGTCGGCGAGGTCCAATTGATGAATAAAGCTAACAAACAAAGACTACAACCACTGGGCTACCCCTACAATTACCAGTCACAATGAAAAAGTACAAACAACTCAGGAAAGCAAGGAATGTAAATGTAAATGAAAACTGAAAACCTCTTCATTTACCAAACTTTCATGACCGAACAAAACATAACACAAGTGCTTGGTCCCAATTTCACATCGTAAATCACACCCTTTCGAAAAGTTTGGTTAGTTTATGTATATTTTGACTTGGTTAAATTAATATTTTAGTACATGGTTGAGCATAATGATTTTTTTTAGCTTGGCTTGAAGGATCTTTGGGGTTGGAAGCTTACTCTGACATAAAAAAAAAACTTTCTTGGCAAATTTTCGGACCAGTGACGGTAAAATACATTAATAATTTTGTATAATGAAAAGTTTTTGATTTTTTTCGGTGCCAGGATGAAATAAACCCCTTTAAAAATAAACTTACCCTAAAAAATTCTTAAATTTGCGAAAATTAAATTACATAGCATAACCTAACCATACTTAGCTGACTTAAACTAGCCCCGTAACCTAACCTAACCAAGAAAAGAACGTAGGCCTACTCTGTATTGATAGTGCTGTAATTTGCAGGGGCTTGTTGAGAGACAATCACCACTATGATGAGGTGCTGGCAGTCAGCGTGGTGGGTCAGAGCGGGCTGTGTACGGTGTTGGAGTACCTGTGTGACCAGCGAGGACTTGCCACTCACGTCTTGGACGTCCTGGCTCGTGTCATCAACTGCCAACACACACCTACGCTTAACTGTGAACGTGAGTACATGATGGTGAAGTGTGAAGCGGGTTGTTTGGACGAGACAGGACTCCTCTAAAAATCCCAAAATTTAGTGGGTGTTTTGGCAAAACTGAAATGAAGTGGGTATCCTAAAAATACTGGAATGTAGTGGGTGTCCTGGAAATCCTGAAATGTTGGTATCATGAATATCCGGGAATGTGCGTATCCTATAAATCATGGAGTTCAGTTTTTGCCCTGGAAATTATGGATTTATTCGGTGTCCTAGAAACTCTTGAGTGTAGTAAGGGTTGTGGCATTTAGTGCATGTTCTGGAAATTCTGGAATGTTCTGGGAACCTGCAAATTTTAAAATAAATTGAACAGAGGAGCAACATATCGTATGTTAGCAAAAGAGAAAATTGTGAATTTTAACTTATCAAATATATCTTCAAAGATTCAAATCAAATGATATAACGTGATAATCATAATGGAAAATGTTGACAATATTCTAAGTAATAGATTGTTACTTAGATTGATACTTGGTGTTACTCATTTTTGTTAACAGTGTGTGAGGGATTCTGGGAGTGTATGAGCAACACGAACCTCGCTCAAGCATTGGTTGTTAATCCTGATTTCGCAAAACTTCACATGGGTTTTGTAAAATCTCGACTTTCAGCGTTCAGTCCATTTATACTGCAAGTAAGTATGACCTTTGTTGTAACTCTGTGTTTTTATTTTATGTGCTGTATTTGCAATGAGTATAACTATATAATGGACTCTAGAGGCCGCCAACCTCTTAAAAACAAACAAACAAAATTATATGGATCGGAGTAAGCATTGTTCTTTGACATGGCAATTCTTTTTTTATTACAAATATTCATTATTAATTTTATCATACCATAGTGATATTGTTTCGCATTTGATCAATGGTGTTTTTTACAGAGGTTTGCCAATCTGTACGACCCATCTCAGCCTGCCGTTAGACCTGTTCTTAAACGATTACTAGATGAGTCGTCCAATAAGACCAGTCAAGCTAAAACTGACAAGGTATCATTAAATAAAAGTACTTACTTATTATGTATAAGCTTAGGTTACATTAGTAACAACAATCTTAAAACAAAGAAGTATACGTCAATTTGTCCAATAATGTGTATAACGGTCTAAGCAAATTATTTTGTGATAGGTGAGGTATTTTCTTTTCTTCACACATACTTGTGATGTAGTATAATTATGACTAGTCCTGTCAGAAATTGTAAGCAGTGTTATAGTTGGTAGGTAATAATAATGACTGTTACATGTTTTTTGTCATTGGCAGATGAAGATTTGTAAGTGGTCAACAGTATTAGAATTAAGAACAGTAAATTGATATTCGCTAACACTGTTAAACTAGCAGAAGTTAAAAGAGTAGATCTTAAAATTTGGAATATAGCGTAACCTAAAGTGGTACGATTAATAGTGGCAAAGCATGTAACATTCTGAACATTTTAAACATTATTGTAGTGACGGATATCGGACGACCGGATCTGCCGGATCCGAGCTGGAACCAGCACCCGATCGTATCCAAAAAATTCCGGATCTTGGGCAGGATCCGGTTTTGATGGATCCGATTTTTTCCCGTTTTTTTTCACTAACAGAGCTGTCTGTATCCATGTACAAAACCGATTTTTCCCGGATTTCTTTACTAACGTAAAGCTGTCTGTATCCATGTACTCTCATCCGAACTAATGTGGCGGACGTCCGGTCCTGATTGCGAAAAATCCGGACAATCGAGAGTTGAGCAAATACACAGTACTGTATATAGCAGTTTTTCAATTTTGTTCCAGGTCCACAGTAATGATAGCCGGTCATATGCACTTCCACCGGTAATGATTTTTACCGCAGAATTTTGTTCCAGGTCCACAGTAATGATAGCCGGTCATATGCACTTCAACAGGTAATAATTTTTACCGCCGAATTTTGTTCCAGGTCCACAGTATTGATAGCCGGGCATATGCACTTCTACCGGTAATAATTTATACTGCCGTGTTATCCGGTTAATCGGTCTTGTACATAGATACAGACAGCTTTGTGTTAGTAGAAAAATCGAGAAAACATCGGTCTTGTATGCCTGGATCACCCCTTGTTTATCTCTCTTATTCGTTCCAGGTCCACAGTACTGATAGCTGAGTATGTGAAACTTTACAAGTAAAATACCTTGTGTCTGTGTACAAGAAGATTACCTGTGTCCATACAGGGTGAATAAAAAAGTCAAGACTCCCCCATCTAATACATATTTTTCTAAGTTGGAACACAGTACAGTCTTCTTGTACACAGACACAGGGTATTTTACCTGTAGAACTTCACATATCCATCTATCAGTACTGTGGACCTGGAACGAATTTAAGGAGGAGATCTTCTGTGATCCTGACATCTGTAAAAAAGGTTTTACAATCACCGCGGCATTGTAATAATCTTTTGTGCCCAAATGACCAGCTTTAACCCAAACTGTTCCTCAGAAAATCTGACCTTTTCACTGTACCATGGTCCTGGTCCCGTAGGTGACGGATTAACGGGATTGCACTGTAGTTAAAATGTAAATAACTACTGATAACTGTAGAATGGTAACAATTCTTTTTGTCCCAGGGTGATTCCCAGTTCCCTCTGAGTGACTGGTTAACCAGCTACCTGCTGGTGTGTCTGTACCTGGGCCACTGTCGTCCTGGTGGTAGTAGTCGCTACAGCCCAGACCTCATGGTGGACCTTCCATCCCATCACTCCGACAGCGACCAGTCTACCAAGGTAAGAGCGACCTCTTGAATTGTAGGTCCTTGCATATTTACTCCTGTAGCCACTCTGTTCTTGATTATTTTTTGGCCAATAATATTCTGCCAGGTCAAGATTTCTCCTAACCTCCTTTGACCTTTCACTTCAGCACTCCAACTTTTGTTTTCTCTAGGTTTACCTGTCGCAGACAAAGGATCCTTTTTAGTCTTACCTATTCCTTAACATAGTTTGTTTACAAGTGTTTATTTTAGTTTTGGAAATATATAGGAGTCCAGCAACCTTACCTGGGAAAAATAAGATAAAGTTCAGAGGGTAAAAACACTAGTAAAAGATCACAAAACATAAATGGTTTCCTTTATGCGACAACCGTAGTTCTAGAAAAGACTCCAGTTTTAATTCTAAATGACATTTCTCTTCAATTTATTCCCTAAAGAAGTCCTACATTAAAGCCGGGTTTACACGATGCCAGTTGGCGAGACAATTGTCAGGAGACAACTGACTGGCTTGGAATTACTGGCTTCGTGTAAACACTTCAGGCCAATTGGCAAGCCAATTGTCCCGCCAACTGTCCCGAAATTCAGTTGTCTCCGGGAGTAGACTGAGGACAATGAGCTGGGCCCAGTGAGGCCCCCACCCTTCGAAAACCCAGTTGTCGTGACAATTGGCACCGTGTAAACGGTGTAGAGGCCAGTCCAGTAGCGCTGTCTTGCCTCCTTACCTGACAGTACCGGTAGTACACTAGTTCTCTTGCGTCACTTTTTCAACCGATCATTATGAAACTTTAAAACTTTGTTAAAATTTCAAATGGCGGTCTTTTTAATGTTTTAAACTTACTCTAAAACGACTGTCTTTATGAAAAAATGTCAGGTGCACTTTTTTAATATTTTGTATTCCCTATCAAACAATACCAACTTCAAAAAGATCGAAAAGAAATAGTTGAAATATTACTATTTTTTGTTTTAAAATGCGTTGGTTTTACAATTAAAATCATAATATTTCAACTATATATTATTGGATCTTTTTTAACTTGGAACTCGGTTTGATAGGGAATAAAAAATGCTAAATCAAATTGTTTTTGAAGTTTTTTCTTAAAATCAGCCGTTTTTGAGTATTTAAAGTTATTATAAATTATTTTTAGGTCCTCTCGGGACACGACAGACGACGAGCACTCAGCCATGTTCCAATGTAAAATGCCTAGGCAATTGTCGGCCACGTGTGAACAGGTCCGCGTTCAACTGGACTGGCCTACGACAATTCCAAAACCACGTGATGCCAACTGGCCAAGACAATTGTCTCGCCAACTGGCAACGTGTAAACCCGGCTTAAGACGGAAAATCTGTGTTTTGTTATATTGTATTTGTTTTATTGTAATATCAACTTTTACAGGAGCCAGTTAGCCTGTCTCCAGTCACAGTGAGTGGTGGATACACTCATGTAGGTCTAGTGAGGAACGGACAGCTGTATATGTGGGGCTACACTGTTAACGGATGTCTAGGTAAGGAGAAACACAGTATGATAATATTAAGGTTGATCTGCAATGTTTACCAACCTGTGCATAGGTCATTGTAGTGGATGTGACATTCTAAATACGATTATTGTTAGGATTGTTTGTGCCGATCCTTAGTATTAGGTCACAGGCAATCGGCGAAACGAGGAAAAGGTTGTAGGTTTAGTTTAACATTTTAGAAACTTAGTGGCTGACTTGCAATAATAGAACTCAAACAACACGTGTGAAATGAAATTACAACAATTGAGCATGGAGCTCAGTATTTCACTCGGTAATTCATCAATTGTGTAAATATAACATTTTTAGGATATTTGGTTGAAAATGGGTAAGTTAGGTCTCCAAAGTAATAAATGGTACCATTTTCAATACATTACTTCCACATTATTAATTAGTATGCAAAATAATTTCTTTTTGTGAAGTGCCAGAACAAAAGTAGGGAAATCAGGTGCTCAAAATAGTCTCACACCATCTGAGTGAACATACAAGTGGTGTCACTGTGAGTGTAGTTTTTTTTTTTTTTTTGTAAATAATGTTTTTTATTCCACCAAATCTTAAAGATTATATATTTGCACATCATGGCTGTAAAATGTTATTTCCTGTTAGAAAATTGGATGCAGAAATTATTGTGCTACATCACAATTTATTGATCATTGTGGGTTGTATTGTTTTGCAGGTGTGGGACCCACCCTTAGTCAGACTCTACAACCCTTACCACTGCCACTGTTTCCAGCACTGGGGGTGCAAGTAGTCAGTGTAGCCTGTGGTAAACTGCACACACTTGCGCTCACTACCAACGGGGTGAGTCAGTCAATAAGATGTCACAATGAAAGGAGCTAGGGAGTTACAGTTTTGTAGATGTAAAGTGTGTGTTACTCGATAGCTTGATAATTGTTTACTTTCTCTCTATATAAATAGGTTTTTTGTCAAAATTTTCGAGTTTGAGTTTAGATCAAATGAGTTTAAATTTAAAAAATCCAATGAATGTTGCTATCTAGCAAAAAAGGGCAACGTTAAACCCGAGTGTAGACAGTTTCGTTAAAAATCTTTAAAAAATGCTGATTGCGTAGATAACATAAAAATATATCGTTTTAGTTTGACTAGTTAAGATCAATAGTCAATGTAACAGTTCTTTGTATCTACTTTTTGGTTTGTGGGGACCCTTGCACGAATTGAACATTTTAATTGAGTTCCAAACATGTTTCTGAGGCAAGACAAAGAATGCAATAGCATTTTAATTTTCAAAGATTATGTTTATGTCCACTTATTATTAAGTAAAGACATCTCACTATTACTCTACAATAAAATCAATTCGTTACATTAAAGAGTATTTTACTTACTTCAATCAGGTTCCATGTTAATTAAAATTCACATTTCAACTGTTTTTGGTTAATAAAATTAAATCTTTGAAAGTGAACCCTTGAAATTATTCAAACGCTAAGGGGATAAATCCCTGAAGGAAATTACCTTTTTAGTTACCAATCGTCACTCTGTTAGATCGTAAGGTTTAAAATGACACCTCAGTCCTAAAAATCGGTTAAGTAACACGGCTGGAAAGGGGATGTAACAGGGAAACCCCTCATTTTATTAAGTTTATAGATTTATCAAGAAATGTTAGAATAAAAATTTTATTTCATCCGTATTACATCACCAACACATATATCGCCAATCATAAAGTTATTTAAACTCCAAATACAAATCTAAAAGTTTACATTCAGAATGTATTTCAATTTTTTTAAGCGCATATAAAACCTTCTTCATTATAAAACCTTTTTTAAAACCTTTTCCTTTGACACACTTATGAACATTTCTGGTGATTGTGACAGGTGTATGCGTGGGGGTCGTCGAGGTACGGACAGCTAGGTGTCGGACCTACAAGTCAGAGTTCGGAGCCAAGGCTGGTGGAAGGACTGTATGACCAGAACATTGTGGCCGTGGTCGCAGGACAGTATCACTCTCTGGCTCTAACTGCTGCTGGCAGGTAACTTAGCAGACATCAACATTTAAGGTTGATAGTTTAATTAACCTAAAGAGAAGTAAAGTACTATGAATTCAATAAAACCTTTCTCTGCCTTTTTATCGATTTCTCCAAAGCATATGACTCGATTAGTAGAAGACGACTCTGGAAGATTATGGAAAAGTATGGAATACCCAAAAAATTAATAAACTTATCAAAATCAAGCATATCAGAATCTAGGTGTAAGGTTAAGATAAATGGCGAAATCTCAGAAAAGTTTGACGTAAGCACAGGCGTAAGACAGGGGGATGGTTTGTCCCCATTGCTATTTAATTTAGCTTTAGAGGAAGCACTACAAGAAGTAAGGCAAACAGAAGCTGGAATTACAATAGGGACCAAAATAAACGTCCTTGCATTTGCAGATGATGTTGCAATTATAGCGGAGAGTAAAGAAGAGTTGAAAATGCTGGTCACAAAACTCCTAAACCATACAAAGAAAGTTGGTTTAAGAATAAATGAAGGGAAAACAAAAATAATGGAGTGTGGGAGAGCAACCCAAATAAACAATGACAACAATTATATAGAAATAGAAGGGTACAACTTTAAAAAAGTTAACAACTTCACTTATTTGGGAGTAATGCTGACGAATAATAATGAAGAAGATATGGAAATACAACAAAGAATAAATGCAGCACACAGAAGTTTATCAGCATCCCACAAACTATTAAGCTCTCGAATACTATCACACAAAACAAAACTCCGTATATATAAAACCATTATAAGACCAGTTCTGTTATACGGCTCAGAAAATTGGGTGTTAAGTAAAAAAACAGAAAAACGTTTGATAGTATTTGAGAACAAAATATTGAGAAATATTGAGAAAAATATATGGTCCAACCTTTGAAGATGGAGAGTGGAGGATAAAACACAATGCAGAGTTGAGGCAATTATATATGGACCCAGACATAGTGGCCGAGGTGAGAGGTAGGAGAATGAGATGGGCTGGCCATCTACTAAGGAAAGAGGACGACTCCTTAGTCAAGAACGTCCTTTTGAACAATCCGGAGGGCAGAAGACCACCAGGAAGGCCCAAGTTGAGATGGCGAGACCAGGTTAGAAAAGACCTAGAAGACTGGGAAGAAGGGAAGATGAGGCAATGGATAGAAAAATCTGGAGGCAGTGTGTTGGCGAGGCAAAGTACCACCTTGGGTACCAAGAGCCACGGCAGTAAAGTAAAGTAAAGTAAAGAGAAGTAAAGTACAGAGAAAACATGCTTTTAGGTTGACGGTATGCTTTCAGCTCTAGTATGTTGTGCTGGTAATATACTTGTGGTGAGCAAGGAAGAGTCCAAGAGGCGAGTACTGTGCGGAAATTCTTATTGCACAGGGCACAGGGTCTTCCTCCACCATGAGTGCATGATAGTACATGAGGGCGGGGTTGGTGTTGGTCTATGCTAGACACCACTTTGTGTACCATTGAGTGTATCCTCGGTACCTTCCCTCACTGTGTTTAAACTAACTGTTATCCCTCCTATTCTAAACTTGAGGAAGGGGGGGATCTTGGATGTTACTAAACAGTATTTGGTAATTAGCAATATAAGAGCGGTATAAACCATCCCTGCTGGAACAGCTTCATACTAACATTTGTATGTTGCAGAGTGTACAGCTGGGGCTGGGGTGTACATGGACAGCTGGGCCACGGCAATGTTGAAGACTGCTGTTACCCTGCGCTCATAGAAGCACTGTCCTCTGAGGTAATAACCTACCACTTGTTGGTTCTACTTACTACCCCCATTCAACAGTTAAACACACATTAGGCCAATAGCCTATTTCATGCTGAAGTAAACCATTGCTTGGTATGTTGCAAATACAAGTATTTATCTCATTGTACAACAACTGTTTTGATGTGTCTTTCTTGTCCCAGTCACTTCTGAGCGAGCTGATGTAATCTTCTGTCATGTGTACTCTTGTACTTTAGAGAACATTTTACTATGTTTGCTTTGTAATACCAACAAAGTAGTTACTATGTTATATCGTACTCTACTCAAAGGGAATAAGATTTTATCAGTAAAACCTTGACTTGGGACCTCTTTACTTTATTGTCTTAATGGCCCTAGAGGGGTTTAATTTAATATCCATCAAACAATGTTGCTAACAACATATTTTGTGAAATTGAGTTGAAAAAACTACGATGCAAATGATATTCTAGACTGTGGGATATTTTGTTTTAAAAATACATAGGTTGGCAGAACTTAGAATCCACTTTATTTATTACACTTACAAAGGATGTCTACTGATGTTATAGCATTGACTATATTTTCAAGGTTTGATATTCGGGATCTGTTCTGAGATATCAAAATTTATCTGCACAAATTGAAATCTCAGGATATAAGTACTGTCCCGTTATTAAAACCCCCTATTTGTGACAGGTGATAGTATCATGCAGTGGAGGTCACGCACACACACTCATGCTCAGCAGCTCTGGGCGTGTGTGGGCGTGCGGGTCCAGTGTGTTTGGCCAACTAGGCACCGGCTCCAACCTCAAATCCAGCCGTCCTGTACAAGTGTTTGGGCTGCCGGAGAAGATAATATCAATCTCCACGAGCTATTTCCACAATGTGAGTACACCTTAAGTGTTATATTTGATTGGAAAGGTCGTATTACCTGAGAATTAAGGAGACAAATTACAGGATAAGAAGGCTTACCTTAAAACTTGTAGTCATCCTACTTCACAAAAACAAAACAAAAGAAAAACTGAATATATTGAGGCACTGCTCCTTTTTCAACATTGAGAGTCACTTGGTTCCCCGTAAGTCTTCCAAGGACTTCCAATGTTTTTTTTTTCTTTTTTTAAGAGGTTGGCGACCTCTTTTAACCTTGCATTTGCCCGTCCACATAGACTACAGATCTGTGCGTGGAATGTATCCAGCAAAGCAAGGGGTGAGCCGGTACAGTACGAACGTGATCTGTACTGATAAATTTTTGTCGCAGTGACCAGTATCCGAACCCACGTCATCGCTGCCTTGGGCCCGAAGTCCGTGACGCTCCCAACTGAGCCACCGACTCACCCGTAATGTGCATTATGCCTAGTGTTCATTTCGTTTAGTGGTTTGTGCATGCTAAACAGTGTTCTTGTCTGATGCTCCCCTGTGTTACTCTCCTCACAGCTAGCCCTGGCCGTGTCTAACCGCCTGTACTCGTGGGGCTCCAGTCCGCAGGTGTTGAGGCTACAGGCGCAGGCGCAGAAGAAGGCGAGGTTCCAACTACAGCAGCAACAGCATCAGCAAGCCGCTTCTGCATCAGTGATTACTAAGGACATCAGGTACAACACATGTTTTTAAATTTTTATTAACATCAGTGAAATTCTTACTTTTTTTTAGGGAACGGTCAAAACCCTAGTCTTGTTACTATCCACTGTTAAGATACTATTAAGTGGTAGCCCAATGGCAAATGGAGCGTGGGTCCAGTGAAGAACTTGCTTTGAAATCGGAAAAAATTTCATTTTTGTAGCAAGCACTACAACTACTCGCTAGCCAGACAATTCAAGATTTCAAATTAATCAAAACCAAAATTGCGGTTTCCACTTCTCACCAGATTTAAAAGCCATAAAAGTTTCTAAAAATGCCATTAAGGTCGAATTTTGTTTCTAAAAGCGTTGGCAAATGTGTAGCTACAGAAGTAAAGATCAAAATGTTTCTATTTCGTTTCCAATTCCCATTGCAAAGCACGGATACAACAGGTAGTTTATAAATATTTTTCTTTCTCTAAATATTAAGTTTTGGTAATCTTGTAGATTTTCATCAATGAATGCTTAACTTTCTATTAATGCAACAATTTAAACAATTATTAATTTTACTTCCAATAAAAAGACCAAAATTTTGTTGGAAATTCTTTTTCTTACTTCACTTCAATTAAAAAGCCAATACTACTAATAAATATTGAAAATTGTATTTTTATGATTTCAGAGGAGTAACAGACGACCAAGTACCTGAACCAGACTTGGACACGTCTGATGTATCTGAAGGTAAATGAAAGATTTAGTATAAAATGAGTTGTGTGTTAAGTACAAGAATATGTGTGTGTGTGTGTGTGTGTGTGTATACAAGCCCATGTACTCAAATTTTCTCAGGTAAGATCCCTTAAATACCCCCTTAATCGGCCTCATGGCTTTTACGTAAAATATAGGCTAATCATTGACTGTGTCAAAGAAAACTGCTTGTTTATGAGGCAAACTATTTTAAACATCTTCCACATAATCAATATAATCAAATTTGAGTATAAATCAGTTCTGTTTTACCCTTACTTATGACATTCAGAAGAAAACAGATGTCAAGGAAACATACAGAATGAGACCATTGCAAAAATTGTGGAACAAGAGAAGGCGGCTTTAACGAGAATCGGAGCATCTGAAGATCTAAGGGAAGATTAAGATGGAAGAACTTTTTTGGTGAAGCCAAATATCTACGTATACCCGTTGTGAGAGTATGATATTATATGATGTTTTCCATTCCCAGGTGATGCGGACGGTGGAAAGTCCAAGTTGCATTTCAAGCTCGCCCCAACATCTCGTTTTGTCACTCTCAACTCGGAAATGGTCGTAAGTCCGAGCACAGAGTTCAAGGGACTTCCGACTGGACGAGCCACCTCTGAACCGACTACAAACGTCAACAATGTAAGTTACAACTGTTACCTTGAATTTTATAATTGAAGAAAATTGTTGAGATAGACTAGAGCATTATTTGTTGACAATTTATCATATATCCATTATTTAACTTGTTGATTGACCATTGTTCCAGAGCACCCCCGCTCCCCCTGGAGTGTTGGTGGGGGTAGACGATGGTCTGGCTCATCTCAGCCCCACCCTTGTGGACACTTCACATGTAGAGGGTAAAATCACTAAGGTAAGTACAACTTTGAAGTAGAGCCCATGATAATGTGTTGAATTGTCTTCACCATGACTGACTTTTTTGTGGTTGATATGCTCAGTTTGGAATATCTTTGTAATGCCAGCTGTGATCCCAAGGTCACACTCAGTCAAATAAAATAAAATAATTTATCGAGCCATTTAACACATCAGGTAATAGATCTAGTCAAAGAAAAGTAGTACAAGTTAATGGATAACAAGACTCTCATGGGGATTGTAAAATAAGACTTGTTATCAAGGTTGACTTCTTATCGAGGTTTGTAATAACATGTGATTTGGGATAAAATAATTTTAAGGGGATTTGAAAATGACACTTGTTATCAAGGGCGACTTGTTATCGAGGGTCTTCTTATCAAGGTTCCACTGTAGAACTTTATTCGCTGAGTGTCCATCCAACAAAGAAGTTTAAATTTTATGGTATTATGGGTTGTTGGCAGGTCAAAAACATATTTAAAACAATTTTGAGGAAGCAGTCCTTAAAGACTTTGTTAGCATGCACCAAAGATTAAACCTATTTCTAGTGGTATACTGATTCCTAGAACCTAAAGTTTGGTGATTATATACGGGCCTACTCATCTTAATGCTGCAGATAAATTTCAAGATATATTTATTAGAAATTGGTAACTGTAAGAATCTGGAATTCCTTACACGTTGCCTAACAGCTGTCACATTCCTTTGTATGAAATGCTTCTTGAGATCTGGTAGATACAGTAGAGTCCCGCAAACTCGGCACTCGATAACCCGGCAGTCTGGATAACTTGGCCATCCCTGGCTCAGAAAATTAGTGATTATTTGAGTCCTAGTTCAACATGGACTCAAGCCAGCTCAAGTTAAATCACTCGCAACTCTTACCAAGGATTTGTTGTACTATATCTGATGACTTAACATTGACTTGTAGTATAAATATATATAAAGAAGGCAGGTAAAAGGCTTAAAAGTTGTATTGTTTTTATTTTGAACCCTAGTTCCCGATAACCCGGCATTTCACAAACTCGGCACCCTTCCAGTCCACATTACGACGAGTTTGCGGGACTTTACTGTAATGTGTAAAAATGACTCACAATGCTACAGAGGTCCTGCACCAGCTGGTATCCTGAGAGATTTTTCTCGTAGGGTTAGGACTCTTCTACCAGAAGCTAAATGACCCCACAAATTGATCCCATAAGCAATATTGATATTGGAAAAGGCAAAATATGTGACAATCAGAAGATACACAAAATATGCCACAATTATACCAACAGAGGATACATTTAGTTTTAATTTTCTAAATAGGCACAGGTACAATGTTCTGACTACACTCAACTCCTGATTAACTGGGATAAAGTAGGGATGAGGCTTCCCGGATACGTAAAGTTGTGGTTAATCCACAACATAAGTAATTATGGGTATATTTAAATTCAGTGATAACCTATTTGCCCAAAATCACTTTGCCTCCTCATCAAAATCACAACTCTAGCAGTGAATAGTCAACCCCTATGGCACAGTTATCATTCACATTACAGATAAGCTGTGGATGCCACCACTCCACCCTGCTGACAGACACAGGGCAGATCTACACCTGGGGTCGTAATCTTGACGCTCAACTCGGCAACGGAGCTCGCACCAAAGAGGCTGTCCACCCTACCCACATTGCCGTCGGTGCGTGTCTTTATGCTCTAAACTTTCAAAATCTTGCTTCGTTTTTTTATAAAACACTGGAAAACTTTTTAAACAGTTTTTGTAAGGGAATGGTCCACTGGTTACTTTCTAATGTCAAAATTTTATTAGTTGACCTTCAGAATAATTACTTAGCTACTCGAACAATGAAAATTAGTGTTTTGGAAAATATAAGGAAGTTGCTAAAATTGATCATAATACATTTGCCTAGTGGTATATGATTACATTTAATTGTTGAGTTAAAGATAATTGACATTTCCCACTGATAATGAACTACAAATATATGTTTTTTGTCTTGAAGATTTCTTGTTAATGTTTGTGGTTGACAGGTAACGGAACATCAGAGATTGTCACGGTGGAGTGCGGAGGGGATTTCACTCTAGCAATCGAGGCTTCTGGCAAAGTATGGGGTTGGGGCAGCAACCAAGTTGGACAGGTAACATTATACCAGATTTTACCTGAAAGTACAAAAAATACGTCAAACAACACACTTGTAAAAATATATTTACACTTATACTGTTAACTCACAAGACGGACGGGTTGTCTGTTTACTTACAAGTATTATTTGACGTATTTTTTGTACTTCCAGGTAATTTAATAACTCGTAGGATGCTTATCAAGAAGTTATCCATCAGGTTTTATAACATTAATGTTTCATTAACTTAATACGGTTTGGAGAGAAAGGGCTAATTGCCTGAGAATAGGTGTGAGAAAGGATAGGATAAGCAGGCTTACCTTAAAAAATGTAGGCATCCCACTTCATTCACTACAGAACACAGAAGAAAACACAAACAAAACAAAATAAACACTGGATATTTCGAGGCCACTGGCCCCTTTCTCAACATGGTCTTAAAAAGGTTCCAGTTCTATGCTAAAGCTTATTGTGTACGATTCAAATGTATATTTAAAATCTAAAATTTTTTGCCACTGGAAAATTAGTATTACCAAATTTAAAGTCTGGTACATGGAGTTTGGTGAAGTAATTGTAGTCTATGTCTACGAGTACGACCTAAAATTTCGATGTCAACCCAAGTGGTGAAGCTGATCCAGTATGTTGTTTTTGTATTTTATTCTGAACCTCAGTTATTTGGCCACCCCTAAAATCAGGATCACTTTACAGTACTCCAGGTATCTTAACATAGCTTTTTATTTTTAACTTGAAAATACTTAGACATCTTGGGTGATATTAAGAAAAAATTGTGTTTCAATAGTTTCAACCATTCTAAACAAATTTATGAGAAGTGTTATGTTGAAATTGTGTGAAATTTTATGTTCACACATTTTAAGCACTAATTTTCAGCCTCTCTGTCTTTGTTGGTAATTCAAAAACATGAGATTAGCGGAAATGTCAATTAGATAAAGATTAATCTAGAATCATGAAGAGAAAAGGCTTAAAAATAAAATTAAGTACTGTAATTGATTGATGTGTTACATATATTTCTCAACAGCTTGGCAGAGAGCCGATAGAAGACGCCACCAAGGCCGGGCTGGAAGGCCGGCTACTGATGCTGAAGACGTCCAAACGAGTCATTAAACTGCCACATGGTGCTTTGAACACGGTGGAGACTCCCAAGGAAATACCATCCTTACCTTCTCTACAAATAGCCTTCCAGTCTCACCCGACAGAATCCGACTCTTTGGTGAGCTCTCGGGTGATGCATCTTGTAGAATAATTACAAAAGGGGTGATGTTGGGTATGAATCATTTAGGGTGAAAGTGGGATGTGCATGTGCCTTAGAACCTTTCCCAATCACTATCGCTTTTAGTTATGTACTTATGTTGTACCTTCGTCTCAAATTGTTTGATCTAATTAATATATCAGGGTTGCCACCAGCCATAAAAACCTTGAAAAGCGTGAATTATGCGTGAATTTAGGTGACCATGAAAAAGTGCGTGAATTATGCGTGAATTTCGTCATTGGACCATGAATTCTCAAAATCATTATTAAAAATTCAGCCAAAACCCCTAAATGTGCTGAATCAAATACTCCGTATTAAAACCATTCTCGAAATGAACACCGAGATAAAACGTCAAAGTGGGAGTGTCGAGATAAAAAGTTTTGTTGCCATGGCACGAACAGAAACGATTGCGTAGTTTATTCAAGGTCAAATCCGATCGCAACCGACGTCAGCCGAGTAGTCTAGAGATGGGAATTATCGTTGTTTTCCGGCAACGGTTATAACGATAACGCAGCTGCCCAATAACGTATTGCGGCAACCTGTTATTTCAATAACGATTGCCAACTCGTTGCCGCTATAAACCGTTGTCCGCCGGTCGGTGTTGCTGTTGCGGCGTTCAGTTATCATTGTCGGTTGATCAGTTCAGTTTTCAGTTGTAGTCGGGAGTCGGGCGTTGCCGCGTTGTCCAGACAGGATGCGTTATTCTAGTTCGTTTCAGAAGTTATCGTTGCTCTGGTAGCGTTGCGGCAACGGCACTAATGGCAATGCATGTTTTCGTTTTCGTTGTCGCGCGGCTTTCCTGCAACATTGTGTAGATAGATACGTTATTATAATAACAGGGAGTTCTCTGCAACGTGTTGCCGCGATAACGTTGCCGTGGCCGCAACACTGTTATTCATCCTGTTATTCCTGTTATGTTATAACGCCCATCTCTACCACCGAGTTATTGTCTGTGCGAGTACCGATCTACCGATAAAATCGATGCTTTCGGAGCTAAAACATCGATCACATCGATGTTTGTTCCGAGTTTCTCGTCTGTTGTCTGTTCTCTGCACTGTAACAGCCAATTAACCTAAAACCTATACAATTCAGTTACGGAAAACATCAATATTTCATATTTCATTACTTTTGTTGGCCTAAAAGACCGATGTAACAAACCAAATCATCGGTTCGGTAATCTACCATCGATGTAAACAAATAACTTCGAACATCGATAGAAAAGACATCGATGTTTCGAAAACATCGACAATTGGAATTGATGCTCGCTCTCATTCTCTACTCTCTACTCTACTCTAGTGTTCCTTCCACTGTTCGTGTGGAAGGAAATACAGAGTAATCATAACCTAAAAGTTTTAAACTGATCTGAAACTTAGAAACGAGTCAAACGTTTGAAGTTTGAAGTAGTGGTGTGGTGGACACTGGACAGTAAGATCACTTGTTGCACTCGTGATTCAGTTTTGTGCTTCTTATAATTGATACCCAACACGCTCAGTGGAACAAGTGTTCAGATTAAATATTTTTTATTACTGATATATTATACTTCCGATACTTTAACAACGTTAAAATAAGAAGTACCTTGCCTTGCCATAAAGGTCAAAATGGCTTGCGCCGGCTGGAACTTAATCGTCTTCTGTGTTTGTTTTGGTCAAATATGTCGTCATTTCAAACTACTGTCAGTGTTGAGTAAATGTGTTACAACGTGAGATTAAGTTTATTTATTTAGGCCTAAGTTGCAAGAAGTCAATGTTGTGCTGAAAAATGGTGATTTCGTTCTGAGGAAGGTAAATGTAAATGTTTTGTTGAAGCATTTTATAACTAGGTGTTTTCAGTCAATACGAATCTAACTAAGTTTTTAATGAGATGTAAATTTAATTAAATAATTGTTTTAACTGTGATTTAAGCCTGTGTAGGCAAATAATAATATATAAACTGATCCAATCTGAAGAAACATCCTCCTAACTAGGCCTAAGTTTATTTTAACCTTTTCTGTAATGTAATTAATTATTTTTTTTATTACTTAATGTAAGTTAGCCTATGTCTAAACTTACATACATTCCATTACTTTTGTTTCGTTCTTAGCTTTAACTAAATATTTATTTACATAATCTTACCTTTTTAGAGTGTTTTTATCAGTCAGTCGGTAACCTTTAATCTTCTCAATAAATAAAAGTTGGTTCAGGCCTAACTTAGCCAAGATTCAGTTTTGGATTACAATGTAGGCTAGCCTACTGTGTTACAGTATAAAGTAATAAATTGCATGTGCGTTTTAGTAGGCCTAGATATGGCCCATTCATTACCAAGTTAACCGTTTCTTGATCATGTTCTTAACATTTGTTTTTATAGTAGCCTATTATCTTAATTTGATGTTTAGACAGTAAAGTTCTAGGCCATTGCTGGATTAACTAAGTTAAACCTTTTATGTTGGGATGCAATGTTTTTTAGGTTAGGCCTAGACCTAACTACCAATCCGACTTATTTTTTTTATTTATTATTTCTTCTAACGTTTGAATTTATCATTAGGCCTATGATGTTGTTAAATCAGATGTTTCAATTTTTTTTAATAATTACATCTTATTATCACACACAAGATTTTTATTAATCCTTTTTCATCTGTGATTTTACTTTTTTAGACTGGATAAATTATATTAAATTCTTATTTTTAACTCTAAAATAAACACATGAAATGTGTTTTATTTGATAGTAGCACACAAAACTATATATTGTCGATAAATTAATGTACAATTCTGAACTAGGCAACACTCTTTTATGGTGAAATTGTGCGAGCATATACCCCATGAATTTTTCAAAACTACCAATGAAAACCTTGAATTATGCATGAATTTTTTTATCTCACTTTGGTGGCAACCCTGTATATGTGCTCAGTGAAGAAGTTTTCTGTCTTACTAACCTAAACATAACTAATCCTAATTACTATTCCTAATTGACACGATCTTTTCAGTAGGATCTTTGTGGTGGCCTGCTTGGGAAACAGAACTAAATTTAAAATTCACTAAGCTCAGTATGGCCTTAAAGAGATTGCACTGACAAAAACGTTGTTTAAAGTTGGTTCTAGCTTTATAAAATAAAAAAAATTATGTTTTTAAGTGTTTTAAACTAAAATTATTCGTGTGGAAGAGTTATTTTCTCCGACACCTAGATTCCATTTTGTGCCTTTGAAAAAAGATTCCTGTAGGTGCTTATAAATACTGTGTAGAAAAACTAGAATAAAACTTACAACCATATATCCTTTGACCTCTGTACTGTGGGAGTGAGCTGGTCTAGTGGTAGAGCTTGGGGCTTCATAGCCCGAGGTCCTGGGTTCAAATCCTGCCTATTACCAATGGATTTTATCCATGTGATAATGCCGCGACCTTCTTGGACTAGCCTGAATTAATGTGTAAAACAGTTCCAGGCTAGAACCTAGCGTCCTACGATGCGACTGTCATGTGTGTATATTATTGTATTAACTAATTGTGAAAAGTACTGTGGAACTTTGGAAAATTGTATTAAATGTTCCTGGTTAGGTTTCTGTCTTTTATCAGATTTCAAAATCCATTAGGACTTTGCACTCTGAATTTTCAAAGTTCTTACCAGGTTGTTTTCACTAGAGTATTATAAGAATACTAGTGCACCTGTTGCTCGAATTCGAACAATTGCAAAATGTTGCAGGCGTTATTTCAAAACGAATAACTGCCCTAATTTTCGATGACTTAAAAGAGTCAACTGAAAGATTAATAATCTGTTACTCCACACCAGTTCTCGAAACTATAAACGAACTGAACTCATTCTGAAAACGAAAGCTCACTCCACTCCAGTTATCAAAACTGAAAACGAAAGCTCTTTTTTGTATCATTTATTTACTACGGACAGCTGTAATTATTACAAATTATCCGTCTGTTTAGGTAAACATAATCTTTTCATCATAAGAAATACATTGAGATTTTGATGGCCTGTGGGGCAAAGCCCGAGGAATTTTATTGCAGAAATTGGTGAAAAGGGGCGTCTACACACAAAATACTTAGCCTAATTTTGACACATCGTTTGTAAAAATCTGTCCATTATTAAAGGAGGAGTAGTGTTTCGTAGAAATCGCCTTCATGTATTATATATAAGGATGCTTTGTAAATCATGTTGTTCAACAAGTCCACTTCACATTTTAAAACATTTATTTTAAAATCAACGTTTGTTACAGAAACTGCTGGCTCGTCTTTCAACTTTTGACAACCCACCGCACAGTGCCAAGACCTTGCATTATGCCTTGTCATACTTCCACGGGCACTACGACACTGCAAAGTTCAGAGAAAAGGTAAATAGATGTTGTAAGGGATACACAATCAGGTTTGAAAGTGAGGATCCCTTTAAAAAATATAACCAATCTTGTGTGTATAGTTTACGGTAGGCCTACTTGAAATAAAAAATATTATGGATTAATATTAGATGAAATATATTAGCTCAGAAATCATTACGACTTGGAAGCATGAACACTAAGAAGGATGGTAAAGAATAAGGTTGTATTTTAATAGTCCCTTGCGCGAGATATTTTGGGCTACGTCTACTTAAGATTGTTGAGTTTTTGAAGCTCTACTACTTCAAACCCTATTATTTTAGGGATTAATATATTCAATTAAAATTTGATTGGCAAACATTAGTTATGTGTAAGAACAAATCTGGGTGTTATTTAAAAATGTACTAGTGGTCGCCTTGTGGTCAAAAACTTAACCAAAAATATTTACTGTGCAAACTTCTTCATTTTCACCCCACGCTGTAAATAAAACATGTGATTGGAATTTCTTCTATTTGTTTTGATTTTTTGTTTAAATTTTGTTGTTATTTTGTCACCTGCACATCTATAGGCAAATATATTTCTAACAGTATTCGTAGATTTTCCCTGCGATGCACACGAGCTGAGAAAAAAGGTTTTAAAGAAGCATGCTCGCCTATTAATATATTGATACCTTTTTTCAAAGTGTTAATATATGGAGAAAAAAAATAAAAAAGCTTTTAAGTCTAAACGAAGGTTTGCTGATTATATCATTGCCCACTTTTGATCTAACTAAATTTAATACTTATGATCAGATTACTTTAATTGACATGCTTTAACATTAAGGTTAAAGGTAGACTAATCCAACTAAATAATCCTATAAGAAAATGTCCACATTACAACTATTATTCGTGGTACATTTATTCACAGATTACAACATTATTTTAATTAACTCACAAATGTCTTGCCCTAGTGCATCGAGCTTGGTGATTACCAAACAGCCTCAAAGTTGGCAATGCTGGATAAGCAGTTCGACATGGCAATGAGCTACCAACTGCAAGCTGCTATGGCGAGCAGCGAGACAAACCATAAACCTCCGTCAAGCGTTACATCGAGTCAACCTTCAGTGTTAGAGCGAGCCAGCAAATCTGTAGTGAGCACAGAGGTGATAGTACCTACCTTGGAAACCAGCCTAACCATCAACACGTCGTCCGCAAAGAAGATAGGGATCAGTCGAACAAGGTCTAACACGCAATCAACAGAGGATGCAGAAAACATTGCAGAACCGACAAAACCGGAGAAACCCGAAGAAGTGGAAGAAAAAAGCACCTCGGAAATTCACATGTTCACTTTCCAAGGGGGAGCGGAAGAAATGTCCGTTAGATCTCAAGACACGCTCTGTTCCAAATCGGACTTGTTGGAGTCGAGATGTGACACACCCGATACGTTGGCGAGTTGTGACGAGTTTGCCACCAAGAGTGCGGAAGTGTTTGACAGTCCGGTGAAACAGTGTGCAAAACGTAAGTCGGACAGCGAGAGTTTGACTTACGAAACGATTGTGAATAATCACATTAAGGAGTTGGAACTGCAGACCGCCAATGGGGAGGATGTTAGTCATAATAGTGCGCTTATTGAAGATCTAGTGAACATCGTGGAGTTTTATATAGACTTGTGTGAGCAGGGACCGCAGACTTCATTGAAAGCGTTGTTGAAACAGGTGAGCAAACAGGATTGTTGTTAATTTTACCATACAACAATCAAAGTATAACAATATTATAGCTACTATTTGAAGGATATAAAATAATACTGTTTGTCCGTCAAACTCATGACCTACCCTTATGTGAAATTCAGTAAAGTTTTAAAATGTTTATATTACCTGGAACAAATTGGTTTACAGATATATTAACTGAAACCACCTCTATTGTTTTATGTCTTACAAAAAACAAATCAAGAAAAACTTATGATTAAAAGAACAAACCCCCTTTAAATAATAACAGCTAATATCCATGTAGAACTTTAAGTAGATGTTACTTAGGTAGAACCCCAATACAATGCCTGTTTTATTTTGACATAAACCAAGATTTAATCCAGTATTTGTTATTAAATTTGTTTTTCCGCAGGGGTTGGAGTTTTGGACGGACCACAAGCTGCCCGTGTGTAGGCTGGAAGCTTTGCTGCTTTCTCATTGGTCCTTAGTGTCTTACCCTCTGGGTCTACTTCTGTTGGGGTAAGTTGTAAATTATAGAATCATCCCTTTTGAGTTCTGACACTAATGCATAAATTTTGCTTTTTAATAGGATTTAAGTTGGTTTCCAAAGATAAATTAATAATGCAATAACTTTTTACCTTTCAAAGATTATGTCCCAAAATTCTCACAGTTCATATTCTCAGGTCTTCTCTGTCTTCTTTGTGGTCATCCTATTTTCTTTACTTCATAAATTGGCTATTTATGAAGTAACAATCTTCTGGTGTCAACATTGGTACGTTTTATTCACATGCCCGAACCATCTAAGTCTTGCAGTTCTCGCAAAACTTATGATGTCCTCTCTTCCTAACATGATTAGATGTATAAAAACCATCCCTTCCTGCCTTCCTACCTTCCTTTCATTTATGTTAAGTGATATGGTAAAGTTCAAAGCTGTAATTATATGTTATGTTTACAGAAATGACTCAGAAGTGAGTGTGGACGCCCAACAGATGCTTAGCAATTTATCTACCGACTTCAGCTTACAGCTCTGCTCGGCCATGGTGAACCACGTCTCTGTCTCAGACAAAGGTAAATATAGCCTAACCTTTTTATGGTTAAAACCTCAAATATTATCATCTCACAGTTCAGTTATCAGCAGCAAGCCCAGCCCTACATAGACATTGACTTTACTGTTAGTGACATTATGTAATCTGTCCACTGACAACAATGTGCCAGAAGTGATGGAGCTACTGTCAGGTCTCAGCTGGTCAGAGCAGACCTCAGCTAGTCTGGCCTCAGAACCTCTCAGTTTGGACCAGATCATCTCACAGATCAGTTGTCAGCAGCCAGCCCAGCCCTACATAGACATTGACTTTACAGTGAGTGACATTAAGTGATCTGTCTACAGACAACAGTGTGCCAGAAGTGATGGAGCTACTGTCAGGTCTCAGCTGGTCAGAGCAGACCTCAGCTAGTCTGGCCTCAGAACCTCTCAGTTTGGACCAGATCATCTCACAGATCAGTTGTCAGCAGCCAGCCCAGCCCTACATAGACATTGACTTTACAGTGAGTGACATTAAGTGATCTGTCTACAGACAACAGTGTGCCAGAAGTGATGGAGCTACTGTCAGGTCTCAGCTGGTCAGAGCAGGCCTCAGCCAGTCTGGCCTCAGAACCTCTCAGTTTGGACCAGATCATCTCACAGATCAGTTGTCAGCAGCCAGCCCAGCCCTACATAGACATTGACTTTACTGTGAGTGACATTGTGTAATCTATCCACAGACAACAGTGTGCCAGAAGTGATGGAGCTACTGTCAGGTCTCAGCTGGTCAGAGCAGACCTCAGCCAGTCTGGCCTCAGAACCTCTCAGTTTGGACCAGATCATCTCACAGATCAGTTGTCAGCAGCCAGCCCAGCCCTACATAGACATTGACTTTACAGTGAGTGACATTAAGTGATCTGTCTACAGACAACAGCGTGCCAGAAGTGATGGAGCTACTGTCAGGTCTCAGCTGGTCAGAGCAGACCTCAGCCAGTCTGGCCTCAGAACCTCTCAGTTTGGACCAGATCATCTCACAGATCAGTTGTCAGCAGCCAGCCCAGCCCTACATAGACATTGACTTTACAGTGAGTGACATTAAGTGATCTGTCTACAGACAACAGCGTGCCAGAAGTGATGGAGCTACTGTCAGGTCTCAGCTGGTCAGAGCAGACCTCAGCCAGTCTAGCCTCAGAACCTCTCAGTTTGGACCAGATCATCTCACAGATCAGTTGTCAGCAGCCAGCCCAGCCCTACATAGACATTGACTTTACAGTGAGTGACATTATGTAATCTGTCCACAGACAACAGTGTGCCAGAAGTGATGGAGCTACTGTCAGGTCTCAGCTGGTCAGAGCAGACCTCAGCTAGTCTGGCCTCAGAACCTCTCAGTTTGGACCAGATCATCTCACAGATCAGTTATCAGCAGCCAGCCCAGTCCTACATAGACATTGACTTTACTGTGAGTGACATTGTAATCTGTCCACAGACAACAGTGTGCCAGAAGTGATGGAGCTACTGTCAGGTCTCAGCTGGTCAGAGCAGACCTCAGCTAGTCTGGCCTCAGAACCTCTCAGTTTGGACCAGATCATCTCACAGATCAGTTGTCAGCAGCCAGCCCAGCCCTACATAGACATTGACTTTACTGTGAGTGACATTATGTAATCTGTCCACAGACAACAATGTGCCAGAAGTGATGGAGCTACTGTCAGGTCTCAGCTGGTCAGAGCAGACCTCAGCTAGTCTGGCCTCAGAACCTCTCAGTTTGGACCAGATCATCTCACAGATCAGTTGTCAGCAGCCAGCCCAGTCCTACATAGACATTGACTTTACTGTGAGTGACATTATGTAATCTGTCCACAGACAACAATGTGCCAGAAGTGATGGAGCTACTGTCAGGTCTCAGCTGGTCAGAGCAGACCTCAGCTAGTCTGGCCTCAGAACCTCTCAGTTTGGACCAGATCATCTCACAGATCAGTTGTCAGCAGCCAGCCCAGCCCTACATAGACATTGACTTTACTGTGAGTGACATTATGTAATCTGTCCACAGACAACAATGTGCCAGAAGTGATGGAGCTACTGTCAGGTCTCAGCTGGTCAGAGCAGACCTCAGCCAGTCTGGCCTCAGAACCTCTCAGTTTGGACCAGATCATCTCACAGATCAGTTATCAGCAGCCAGCCCAGTCCTACATAGACATTGACTTTACTGTGAGTGACATTGTAATCTGTCCACAGACAACAGTGTGCCAGAAGTGATGGAGCTACTGTCAGGTCTCAGCTGGTCAGAGCAGACCTCAGCTAGTCTGGCCTCAGAACCTCTCAGTTTGGACCAGATCATCTCACAGATCAGTTGTCAGCAGCCAGCCCAGTCCTACATAGACATTGACTTTACTGTGAGTGACATTATGTAATCTGTCCACAGACAACAGTGTGCCAGAAGTGATGGAGCTACTGTCAGGTCTCAGCTGGTCAGAGCAGACCTCAGCTAGTCTGGCCTCAGAACCTCTCAGTTTGGACCAGATCATCTCACAGATCAGTTGTCAGCAGCCAGCCCAGCCCTACATAGACATTGACTTTACTGTGAGTGACATTATGTAATCTGTCCACAGACAACAATGTGCCAGAAGTGATGGAGCTACTGTCAGGTCTCAGCTGGTCAGAGCAGACCTCAGCCAGTCTAGCCTCAGAACCTCTCAGTTTGGACCAGATTATCTCACAGATCAGTTGTCAGCAGCCAGCCCAGCCCTACATAGACATTGACTTTACCGTAAGTGACTCTAGCTATATGATTTTATAAATTAGTCTTCCAACACACCTATAAAGAATTTACTGATAAGATGGCATACCTTTTTCAATGCTATATTTTAAAATTATATAATTTCCTTAGGTTTTGAAGTTAATCAATTTAGAGATCACTGTACTAGGCCTAGTGGGTTGGTTCAAATCTCAAACCTCCAACACCTATTTTTTATGCATTTACAGTAGTACCTCTCTAATTCAAAAACGTCTATAATTAGAAATGTTTGTTTGTTCCCCTCAGAAAACCTCCAAAATTCAAAAAGTAATTTTTATGTTTAAGACAGCCTCTACAATTCAAATGTTGTTGCTGTAATTCAAACTGTTACCTCCAAAATTCAAAGTCAACCTCTACAATTTAAACTGCGTTACCGTTACTGTAAGCCTCTGTAATTCCAATTCAGGACAAAAAATACGCCTGTTGAAACATGTAATGACGCTCTTATTGATGTTCCCACGATGCGTTCATTAGTCTCCGTTCTCTCAAACTCTCTACACTTAAAACTGGGACCTCCATAATTCAAATTTTATCTATTCTGACCTCTATAAATCAAACTCTCTATATTTCAAACTTCTCACGATTCAAAATATATTGTATTTCCTCTAAATTTCAATTAGCGAGGTTCTACTGTATTTAAATTTGCTGATATATTTTTTATTTCACATTGACATTCACAGTCATATGTTTTCATTGTTTAAATTTAATTCAGTCCCGCAATACCACCACATAAAATAAAATAAATCAGTACAAAGAGGTTGGTAATAAGAGTTGGCCTAGTATCCATTATAAGAGAACTATTTGTAGAGACGTCTTCTCTTTTCCAAACCATGAAAAACAGTCCTTAATTATTTTTGTATTGAAGACTGAATTTATTTTGAAATTGTAACAAGAAATTCAATATTAATGTAAACAACAATTTTATTTACGAGCTGTATTTCTCGTGTAGATTTATTTATCAGTAGATTTGTGTAATTTTTCAAGGTTCAGAACGATGAGTTGACGTCACCCAGCGAAGTCATCAGTTTCTCTTGCGGCCACAAATATGACGGGAGTGCGGCTTTGCAAAAGGTAAGTTGAAAAAATTGAATTTAACACAAATACAAACTGGCTAGGTTTTTGTCCACCAAGCATGTTTGCTTGGGAAAAATGTTTACGATAAACATGGCTAAAGCTTTCTTGTATTTATTGGTTTCAAATAAAACCAAAAGAATATATTTAAACATGTCTATTTTTGCTTAGGCCGCAGTGGGTGCCGCTAGGCAGATAGACGACAGATCCTTGCCTTCCACAGCGCAAGCTCTGCGTAGTCTGTACCAGCGACCGCTCGTTCTGCGGCATTTTGCTTGTCCTGTCTGCGTAGTGGGCTGCGTAACACAGGAGCTGGGTTGAGTGCCTTTATATATGTGTATTGTCTGTCTGTAAGTGATCTATCAAATGTGGAAGAGCAGTGTGTTAGCTATCAGCTTTTTCTTTCACGCAGAAAATAGTTAAACATTACCGTGTAGTATGTTTTGTAAGCCAGGAATCAAACTAAAGGAGCTGCCTTATATTTTATTTTTTTTAAGCTTAGGCTTAATCTAATGTATATTTTACTGTAAAAAAAAAACTATAAAAGTTATTGTTTAGTGACAAAAAGAGAGAAGGGCCATGGGGACTTGTGCCCACACCAAATTTGTTGGTTTTTTATGTAGGCTAAATATGATCAAAACTAAAATTATTAGATAATTTGGTTTTCCTCTGCAGTTAGTAGTTCATAATAGTTAAATATTTAGATACCATAACTAGTTTGGAAATAGAAAATTTACTACCAAACTAGTTAATGCTAGTTATAAAAACCTCAAATACCTCAAATCAAATAATTATTTTTTTATAAATACTTAATGTATAAGCATACCCAATTCCAACACTTAATCTGAACCGCCATCCTTAAGCTAATAATGTGTGTAAACTAGATTTTAAGAATAATTTCATTTTTCAATTCCACCTATTCATATTTGGACAAAGTTTAAAATGTGTATAAAAAAAAGCTTGGCCAAATTGAATTCTGGCTTACAAAAAAGCTACTTGTACATTTGCAATGGGGCGTTTACATTAATGTACTAGCTTCACTTTGGATACTAAAGTAGACTTCTTACCCGTGATAGCATCACAATTGTATAACCTTTGTCATGGTTAAAAATAGTGGGTGTTGCAATAATACAATTTCAAATTACCCCTAAGATTACCAATATTCTTCCAGTAAACTCTCAAAATAATAGTGGCACAATTTTTCAAAGTTTAAAACGCACTGGAAAAAGGTAAATTTTGGTATTTCTGTAGTAGGCTACATAAGTGTAACAACAGAAAGAAAATGAATGGAGCTATTAATATTTACAAATTTATAAGTTTGTATACTGTACTCAAGCAACTATTATCTAGTCTCAAAATGAACAATCTGTGTATTTCCACTCAAATTGTAGTATTATTCTAGTTTATTGTTTTAAAAGACTTGAATGAACTTTAAATACCTAGTTAGACTCTGTAGGTTAAAAACACAAATACAGTAGTTCTTATTATTGTTCATCATTATTAGAAAATGTGAATACATAGCTTTAGAGAATCATTGGTATTAATGGTTGTACAGAGTGCTTCTTTAAAAAAAGTAATTTGAATAACAATTCTTTTGGTTGATAAACACTTTTACCATAACGTAAAGTAATGTGAAAAACAATCCTGGCCTCGTGCCTAGCGTCCTTGAACAAAAAAAAATTGTGATTGGTGGGATTTGAATCTGAGACCTCAGGGACTGAATTTCCGCACTGTACCCCTAGCTTGCCTCCACTTAGATAGTAGATTAGTAATGGTGAAAATAAAACAAATTTGTTTTTCCTAAACAACAACCACCTTTGTTTCAAAATTCGTAGCTGATCCAGCGACTAAGTAGGTATTTTAAGCCAAGTATAAATGGAGATGAGTGTAGGATGAGTGGCGCAATCAGGCCGACATATTCCTTAGACACAGCTGTTAATTAATAGCCTATAAAGCTAATGGCAACTAAGGGACCTACAGTTTATAGTCAGGATAGTACTGCAGATAGTCATGGTACTCACCCACGTGGACGTTTAACCGGACTACACTCGGCGGAAATTACATCTCATTAACCGGACAATTTTTATCAGCCCATCGGTTTAACCACACTAGATCGGCACCAAAATGGCTGTTCTCGTGGGAAAGATTTGAGACCAGTAACCACGTGTCTAAATACAATGCTCTCCTAAATTTAAGTCAAATACTGTACAGTATGCATTAAAACGGCCTGTTTTAACGAGTTTTTGGGGACGTCGGTTTACCCGGAAAAACCGTTGTCCGGACTGGCCTCGGTCCCAAGGAGTCCGGATAAGAGGGAGTCTACTGTATTATAAACTAACCTACCCTAACTCCTGCAGCTCGTAAAACGTTCTCTGTACAACCAACCAATACCGACCTGTGGCACAATGGTTGTTCATAATGGTGCTAAGAATTCTTAGCTAAGTTACGTAGCTTTATCGTCTTTATTTTCCTTCAATTTTTTGCAACAAATGCAAGATCTTGTTTTGTAAATTCCATAACTTGCAAGATAAAAAAAAAAAAAAAACTATCTTAAGTGATAAAAGCAAAGTTGGATTAAAATCTCATTACGCTATATTAAAATCGCATAACTCAGGTGTATGGTTCAAAAACTAACAAACTCAAATATTAGTTATTAAGCTAGTCCTACTTAAACACATGTGATTGTTATTATATGGCCTTTATTTTTAGAATTTGTACAGTAATAATTGCTTCAACTAAACTATGTTTTTAGAGCAATTTATGACAATGCGATAATTGATATTAGCTGCATTTATCTGTTTACTTAATAATATTGTTATCTTTTAGAGAGCGAAAACGAGAACGCTACTTTTATATTGATGTTAATAATATGTAAATTCTAATTGTGTTATATGATTTATTGTGATTTTATTAAAGTGATCTCGTTTTTATTATAAATATCAATGTGATAGTTTGTAGATTACTGTTGTATATTTTTTTAATACTGCAGAATATGATAAACCCAGAACAGAAAAATAAATTTATAAATTACTTATGTCAAATTTTGTTAAAAATTAAGACACAGTTTATTCATTAAATATCCACCTTACAAGTCCTAAAATGATTTTCTGACATATTTAATTGCCTAAGCTCAAAAGATTGTACCAAGGATTGAATAATAGATTTACAGAGAATGTATCCACAAATTTTTTAAGAATTGGAAAGAATAGATGTGTTAAAACCATAAGTTTTTAATTCAGTTCAGTGGATTGTATAAAAAAAATAAAAAGGCAGATCTAAACTCGTACTTGCAGAACATCTTTTGAATTATAATAATGTGTGATAGATTTATGATCCAAACCTTATAAAGTATTTAAAATACAAAGTCGTATCAGTTACGAATTAATATCCTTGGTGTCATCCAAGCATATGATTTTCAAATTTGAGCTTTTTCCCAATTTGTTATTTCTATTTAAAACTGTACAATTTAAGAACACATTTGACCTAGGGTTATCAAATTTAAGTTATAAATGAATTATACAAATAAAATTTCTACACACACTATCTTACATTTGGCTATAGTTCAATGTATTGATGTCATAAGGGTGCTCAGGATAATTTTAATTGTGTGAATTCTGTCAAGGTTTTTAAACTAAATATATTATTTGATGTATTTTTCAATTAGAACACTTCAGCATTGTAAACGTTGGAATTTGTATTTAATCTACAAATAGCTTGTACTGGACATGTAGAATGTATGTCAATGAATTTTTGCAGCACATGGAAACGTAATTACAAAAACTTGCTTGAAAAACTTGTAATAGCCTACATTGTAAATCTAGGTGATATCCATATTGTTACCAGTATTGTACAAATTGTTTATCGTGGAATATAAAATAAAGATATATGAATTTACCAAACATTTATTATCTACACCAATCTGCATACAACCAATAACAAAAAGATTCTTTTCTCATTAGAAAGCTAAGGTTACTAAACCTGCAAACTAAGATAAACTTAAGATAAAGCAATAAGACATCAGTAAAAAAATCGGTTACTATCACACTGAAATGATCAAAATTATTGATAAGTAGAAAGTTTGTAACACAATTCAAATTTAAAATTACGAATTACGAGAGAACCCATGTGCAAATAGTGCATTTAATAGGGTTTAAAACTGAATTCCAAGTTAAAAATAATTTCAATACCCGTTTACTCTTTAAAGATCTAGATCTACACCATAGAGAACTAAAGTTATTTATCTCACTAAGAGCATCAATCATATAGAAATTATCAAAGCAGTAGCCTATTAAAAATCCATTTTCATAAACTGTATCGTCTGTCTCTAGTTTACAATCTGACTAGTTAAGCATTCAACTAAATGATCAGCTGGTGGATTACAATTAATATTTAACCCGTTATAAAGAATGTAGTAAGCAACACTGGTTCTTTGGAAATGAAATGTAAGGGGGACAAAGCCTTGAAGGAAATAACCTTTTTTGTTACCATTCACAGGTGCCGGATCATAAGCTTTTGATGACACTTCAATTGTTAAAATTGGTTAATTAGAACAGCTGAAAAGGGATGGTACAGAAAAAAACCCTTACTGTGTTAAAATAGATTATGATAGAGCAAGAAGACGAAGAATCATATAAATATGAGTCATTGACACTGAATAGTGCAAGTAGACTTCTCATACTATTGCAAATTTTGAAGATTTTGCATTATTTTTACGTGAAATTAAAATGAAATGAAAATTTTATTCAATCAGGCAAAGTTAGGGTTGCATGACCTTTTCCTACACTTAATCTCATGTGTGTTTATGTTGGTAACGTCTGAGTGCACTGATGTGGACTGAATTAATCTCTATTATTTTAGAGTGTTTTTCTGATAGATGCTTTACTCTTTCATAAGTAAACCATTATTTTAAGAATTGTTTAAATTAAAATGGTTTTCAGTTGGCATAAAAAACAAAAACTGAAATGATTGAATCGGTACAAACTTAAAATTCAAACAGAGCTAATCTTAGAATTAATTGTGTTTGGCTGGTCCATAAGGATGAACAATCTATAACAAAGCACGATCATTGTTCAATCTGTTAAATGATTTTACCAAGCATTTGATTTCATAACTCAATATCAGTAGTAGCTATACAATGTTTTATGATTTAAAATGATTATAAATTTTTCTTAGCATCCTTAGTTACTAATCCTGTTAAAAATGAAAAAATAAACATCATTAAAAACATGAATAAGACAATTAAATAAATTACCCAGTAAACTTATCAACTAAATGATTAATTATTTTAACAAACATCACAAAACAAAAATATAATCTAATTATACCATTAACAAATTAAAAACCATTCACTAACAACTAATTATTCATAAGAAAAACGATAGAAAAATTAGAAAAAGAAAAAAAGTTTGACATTTTTATGATCACGAATGTTTATTCACAAAGTCCCTCCTGATCTCATTGGTTGAGAAAGAACTGGTCATCTTGATGTCATTGAGGCGGAAGGATGGTGGCGGAGCCGAGGTCCGTCATTCGGGCATACTTAACCTTCTTCTTCTCCAGCTCATCTTGCGCCCACAAAATCAACTTCATCAGGTTATACAGCCGAGGCGTAGTAGGCTCTTGGAGTTCAATTTTCAAAATGGCAGCGTTTAGCTCACTTGCCACCTGAAAAAGGTAATCATTGAGGGATTTCCGGCAGGAAGGTGGCGGATCCGAGGTTCGTCATTCGGGCAAACCTAACGAGGGGGCACTTCACCAGCTCGTCCTGCGCCCACAAAATCAACTTCCATAGGTTTAACAGCCGAAAAGTAGCAGGATCTTGGCGTTCAATTTTCAAAATGGCTGTGTCTAGCTCACTTGCAACCTGAAAAAGGTGATACGCAATCTGAAGAACTGAATGTACTGTTACCTTGCTTGTCCAAAAGCCATGTCGCAGGAACAGCAATGTCTGGTTTATCAGCCGAAGACATTAACACTAGCTATTGTGTTGAGATGCAATTCATCCCGTCATCATAGTTTATTTAAGTTACTGATGTATGATTTGTGCTTTAAAATTTAATTCATGCATATCGGTCAATTTATACAAAATTGGTTTTTAAATTCATACCAGTTTAGTAGACTAAATATGTTAGCCTACCTTTGAAAAAAGGGATTTTATTGTAGATCGGTCTTTAACAGAGTTGATGAGGTTTTCTTGTCTCACACTATGGACTGGCAACAGATATTCACAGCCAAAACTCATTCAATCAACCATAAAACTACACAAAAGCTTGTGTAAACATAAAACTTGCTAAATAACCATGGTACCTTTTGCCTGTGAGTCTGATTTAGAAGATCGCTGAATGGACAGTTATTGGGTTCCTCGAAGGCCAGAAGAGCGAGTGTCCTCTCCAGCTCATTCAGCACTCCGGGATCTGATTCTCCGACCTCGCTCAGTTGGTCCTGAGCGAATTGCAACGCCTCCTCAACATTCCCCGCACGGATCAGCTCTATTAGGTGGAGTTGCTGCAAAAATAAGGTTTTTTTTATTAGATTTAGGTTAAAAAATTTCATATCATTGGAAGTTTAATGGACTAGCAAGTTTTTTTCAACATTCAAGAAACGTCCTCTCTTTTCGTTTTCTTTAGTCATAAGAGAAAAAATTAGGTTAGAAAAGTTGTCTTAGCCGGAAAGTCTTCTTAGTTTGTTCCTCTTTGCGCTTGCAAGACCTTTTTGTAATCGAGACATTTAGGACATGTGCTGTGTTAATTAAGGTAAACATAATGGTAGCTGCTAGACTATTTTTGTGGCATACAATGTCATTGTTTTTAAGCTTAGTACATTAAAAAACAAAAATACTTTCCTCAGGGTACTGATTAAAATTTATGTAGGCTACAAGCATGAATGTACATTAGCCTACATTTTTCAATCCTCAAATCATTGGTTATAGCAAAAAAAAAAAGAAAAAAGAGAAAAAAAGTTAGGCCTAACAAAGAGAAATTATGTAATTCTGTTTTCAGACAGGGGGAATAATTAATGATATAAATTTTAAACAATTCCATCTTACTCAATCAATTTTGTTGATGGCAACACTGATTGATAAAATTATCAAATCAACAAGGTACAATAAAACAACATCATTGATAAAATATATGTAGTCCTCAGATTTTAATCAAAAGAATTTTTAAAATCAATTTTGCCCTGTCCACTGGCTTTATAGCCAGGCAGACGGCATACTTACACTATTTACATATAACCAGCCCTACCTGCAGATGGAAGTACAAATATCTATCATTGTCTAGAAGATCCGGGTGAAGCTGGTTGACTAGGAGAGTAGCTTCCTGGATCCGGCCTCCCTGGATAGCGTCCCTGATCCGGATCCGGTTATCCATCAGGTTCAAATCCATCGAAGGCTGCACTCCCGACTCCTGTTGAAACTTTTCTGCCGCCTCCTTAAAACCCTCTGCCGGCAGAAAACCACTTGTTAAAAAAAATGTAAGAATGTTATACTGTGGTCTTGTGACTTAAATACGGTAATATTTTTGAAGTTCTTGCCCACTCTGCCAGGTTTTTTTCTAACCAGCCATAAGTGTATCATTTTGAAGGTTTTGTCAAATGTATATTCTAGAAGTGTAATGGGATATGTCAAAATCAATTACTTTCAGGATAGAGGTTTATTAAATGATTGACAAAGTAACTGTAATCTGAAAAATATTGTAATCATATAAACTTAGTTCAGGCTTTTTAATAGAAGGATGCAGATATGTAACCTGAGATTTCCAGTGAGAAGTTAGGGGAAATAATATAATTTTTGTTTATCAAAGGCATTTTTTTCTCAAGAAGGATATTCATCAAATAATTTCTGACTGATATATTGTCAAGGTCAAGTCAAAACAATATTTTCAGTCAAAACAGTAAGGTTTTGAACTGCAACAAGTTATATAAAAAAAAATCAACAAAAGAGATGCTACATTTCAATGAGAAAGCTTTGTGTTTTGTAAGTATGGTATTTATTGTACAATGAGTGTTGCCGTAAATAAACCAATTGAATTGAATTGAATTACCCTAACGCCCTTCAGCCTAAAATCTTAGTATGGGGCTGAGTAACTAGTAAGAGTGAGTAGCCTAAGTTAGGGCCTATTGAGTGAATGGTTACTGACTAAAAATCACCTGGTTTTTTAGACTACTCGACACTTTCATTAAAATCCAATAATCTAGGACAGCTTGGTCCATATTACAAATTATCAAAGAGCTACACAGTAACCTACTGAGTTATAAAATCTGAATCAAACTGGTTTAACCTTCTGTTCATTAAATTAAGTAAATTGTTCGCTTAATGAAACCTTTAAGTAGATTCTTCCTACGGCTACATAAGTTAAAAGCTGTTGAAATCACCTGTGACTAAGTAGTTCATTATTAGTTTATTCATGTCGCTCTGATGTACGTGTACGTCCTCTAGTTTGCTCATCCACTCATCCTTTGAAACACTCTCTGGTTTAGTAGCGTAGCTCATGGATACCAGACTCTATGAATATAACAGAAACACAATAAGTAAAAAAGAGTTGGAACATCCAGTAACTTTTGGAGGAAGACATTGGTGGAAGAGTTGAAGATAGTAGGCAAAAGAGAGAGGCGACCAACAGTGTGGTGGATAAGGGAAAGGAACAGCAACAGACTCTTAAACACTCCAGAAATTTACAAAGATAAGGAAAAAAGGAAGAAGTACTTAAGTGACTATTCTTCTTATAAATTACAGTGACAAATTCTGAGAGCCTGGGTTTTGAGAACTTTGTAGTAGGGCCTCGGCCTATAGCCTTAACATTTAAACTTTTTGACATTCCTAGGTGTTAGGACTATTGTTTGTTGGTCTTCTAGGGTACACTTCCATATCTGTTGGCACAAACAACCGAATGAAAATATTGATTATTCGATATATCGTTTGGTTAGTTAGGTAAGGTTAACTTAACCTAACTAACCAAACGTTATAGGCTATCGAATTAAACAATCGAATAATCAATATTACTCATTCGGTTGTTTGTGCCAACAGATATGGAAGTGTACCCGTCTTCTACCCCTTATTTACTTTTTTTTTTACATGAAATAGTCTTCAGACTATAAGTTGGTATATTCTGACTATAATAAACTGTAGCCTAGCATTATTGATTTTAGGCCTACTTTGTTATGCTGGCCCTGTTAATTAATGAACCACCTATTCATTTTATTTAAATTAAACTAACATATTCAAGAAGAAAATATTCAGCCAATCGTTAATCGTTGATTAAATCGTAACGTTTCCTTAAAAAAAAAATGCATCACTTGACTTTAGGTTAAAGAATGCAAGCAACCTTCAACTAGGTTATTTTACTTAGACATTTTCCCAGCTTTTTATGGTAGTATAATTAATGTTAAAAAGTTTTATTTACCCAAGTTCTATCGTACTACTTACAATGCTAAGGAAGTGTTACTATTAGCTGTTTGGTATTCTGCAGAATGCAAATACAAGTGATACAACAAACGAACAAAGCTCAAAAAGTAAAAACATTAAAAACTGACATTTCTTCACTTTCTTTTCAGATGCTTCTTTTTTTCTCTCCAGTTGACAGCTGCTGTTCATACAATTACTTTCCTACACATACACAGAGGTAGAACTCACTTTTCAAACATACTATGTAAATAGAAGAATCTAAGCGACTTCCGACCTTCCCACGAAAATAATATAATATTCCATTTAAAAAATACATTAAAAACAAATACATAAATAAAAATAACATGGGTACACTTCCATATCTGTTTATATGGAACACAAACAGATCCCCATACTTTTATTCGTAAGCTTAATTAAGCTTAATCCGTTTGAATCTGTACTCCTTTTAAATTGACAAGTTGATAGTTTCCTGTCTGTGTTACATTTCATGAGCAATCACTATGTCAATGTCAATCCGCCCCAATAATCTGTGGTAAGTGCCGAGGAAAAATAAGGAGCATGGAGCCAAGACAGCACTAAACTTATATAAAACTTTAAAATCTGTCTTCGATCATGGTAAGTTGACATCGAACATATTGTGGAGCCGAACAATGGAATAACAATTACCGAACAGCGTTAACAGCAAAAACTTGACCTGTACAATCACGGCCAGGGCCGTGGTTAACTTCATACGTCCCATAAAATAACATGGCAGACAGGTGACATCATCGCCACGGCTGCGTTTAACTCCAGGCCGTGGCCTTTGAAGTGGCAACGCCGCAAGTAGGGTTGTAACAGCTGTTTTGTTTGGAAGCAAATAATGGTATTTTTTGTATTTACGTAGGCTTGGTTACTACTCTCCACTGGAGGGGTTACAGGAGTTTTCTAGTACTGTGTAATACCAAAAGACACATGGTCTGTAGGCCCAACGTATTCAACCATGGCCATAAAGATAATATGGCAGACAGGTAACATCAGCTCATTAATTTGCACTTTATTAATTTAAATTTGAATTTATGAACAAACATATTATTTATTAAAATATTGAAAATAAAAGATGCAGAATTGAAAACCAAAACGATATGAATTGAAAATCTAGCAGCTAGAACCGAGGGTTCCAATTTATTTATTTATTTATTAGGAGATCCTTATCGTAGGAATGCAAGGCCCCACTACTAGGCTAGTGGGGCCTTGAGGAAAGGATAGTCGTAGACCAACAGGAAAGTAAGGAAAGGAAGTATTCAGATAAATGTACGAGGATGTATTGATTAATGAGTATTAATGTTTGCCAATAAATATAATGTCGATCATTTTAATATTACATCTCTAGAGACGATTTCACATAACGTAAACTCTCTGGTGACGCTCTGGGGTATCGGTATAGTAGTATCGGGTCGCTGTCCGACTTACGGTAGTGTTGGGATATCGAAAGAAAATATCGATATCTATATCGACGATAATATCGGAGCCTCAATATCGATATTCCGATAATATCGGAACAAAAATATCGATATATCGGGAAAATATCGATAAAAATTAATGGAATTGGAATGCTATCGCAATGAATCCCTTTAACAGGAAATTACCTTAACAAACAATTTAAAAAAAATATTATTGAAATGAAACTATTCTAAACCATCCTAACCGACCAAGCTTGCTGTATTATTTCAAAATTTTGTTTGCTAGCCTATTCCCCATATGCATTTTCTGTAATAAAACGGAATTTTTAAACGGTTACTTAGCCTACAGTCAGTTTGGTTGGTTTTGGTTATGTTAGGTTGAATAGTTTCTTTTCCTAATCCAGATATAGGCTATTATTTTTGCCTAAACAAGGTTAGTTCTTAAATGCGTTTGAAGATATTAAAACAAAGGAATATATACAGACGGTTTGGTAAAAAAATATCGATATGTCATCAAAAGAAATCATTGATATAAAAATATCCCTTTAGGAGGAAAGTACCTTTGTGAACAATATTTATTTAGCCTATCCTTATCGAAGTTGTCAGCTGATATGTTTTAATTTGTTATAATCAATATATCGGATAGAAAAATAAAATGTCGATATTCAAAAAGAAATAATCGATAATAATGAATGTTTCCTTTAACAGGAAAGTACCACCATGAACAGTTAGCTGCACACATATGACGTTAAATTGTTTACAATTTATAATTTTTTAGGCTTGTGTACAAAAAATATACAACAAATGAGAATTTAATGGTTTTGATTGGTTTTCACTGCCGTCACGTCATTTTGGCACTCCACTTCTGCCAACCGTGCCAACTCACTATTCAAATGCAGGCAGAGGCAACCAGATTACAAAAATATTTTTAACTAGATACATGGAATAGTTTGTGTGTACAAATAAATTTGTTATTAATAATATTTAATAACTGCTAAACAAGTTCAGAAATATTAAACTGTATTTTATTCTTGCATTATTCTTTGAAAAATTGCTAAAATCAATTCTAACGATAATATCGAAGTAAAATATCGATATCCCGATAATATCGGAAATCTAATATCGATATAAAAATATCGATATATCGGAACCAAAATATCGATATTTCCGATATATCGGATATCGATACCAAACACTAACTTACGGTAAGACTGGACACAAAACAACTATCACTCTACTGATAAGGAGTGAAGAAATTTGAAGATAGATGAAGATGACGACTCCCCTTTCCTTGGATAGTGGCGAGGACTTCGGATGGTAAATGGTAAACTGTAATTGCAGCAATTCGTGATTACATGTACAATGAACAGTGTAGCTTTTTCGGCTTTATGAATTTCAATTTAGATCTAAAGAGTTTCCATCCATTCGTTGCTGCACCACCAAGTTGAACTGATGAGTTTATATCTACGTTTTACAGTTTATCAATATTTATTTATAATGTAAAGTGTTCTTCATACAGCAAAACCAAAAATTAACTCAAAGCTTATTTTAATTGTTATGAAATTAATTTATAAACGTGTATAATTATTTTACCGATGTATTGAAAGTTAGTAACTTGACTTCTCTTCGTTTCAGAATGAAGAAATGGCGACTGCGAAATGTTATGACTGTCTCGTAGCTAAGTTATTTGTGATTAATTTGTGTATGTGAGTTTTTACTAGTGTATTAACTTTGTCTTGACTTACATCCGAAACATGGCTTCTGAAAGGTAAACTATTAAGGATGTATTCCTATACCCCTTGCATATAATACTCTATTAATCGATACAATTTTTAGACAGGGGATTCCATTTGGGCTAGGCCCTGTCAGAATGTATCTTTCAGTATGAAGTTGAAGTAGACTATGTTGTTACCTACTATTAAGTTTTAATGTCTCTATTTCTTTATTTAAGATTAGCATAGATTGGGAATAATTATGTGTTAAACAAATCTTAGCTTATGATGATAACTTTCTGTGACCATTTCAATATTTTGAGTGAAGGCCTCAAGTTAACTTGGACCCCATTAACCCTCCGGGTGTCATGTCAAATTTTTGTTAATGTCACGCGATTTTTGTCACTTTTGCGGAGTTTTACATAAAAATTCACAAAAAATTAAAAAATTAAAATACACATATAAAGTAGCATATTTTATAAAAGTAAATAAAACTGGCTATACAAACATGCAATATTTTGTGTCCTTACCTTATGTTGATAAAATCCAGCATGGGTTCAAATCCGGAAGATCAAAAAAAAAAATTTACTTTTTCATGTTACGAGCTTTGCAAACAAAGTCTGTCACACCACACAGCAAAATCAAAATATACATATTGTTCAAAATTTAATGAGAAAAAAGAATATATACACATATATGGACTTCTATATACAAACTGTCATATGGCGAAGAAAAAACTGATCTATATACATTGCGGAAAACACTAAGTTTCTAGGGATGGGATGTCTTCTTTCTCTTATGAGATGAGCTAGGTCTCCAATAGTGACTTAGTTTATGAAAACATTCTTTGTGCACCCCACAGTTGCACCCAGGACACCAGTATGTTGCTTTCCTGGGGCACACTGCACACATTCTGTTTGACTTATTCGGAATTAATTGTATTTCGTGAGCCGTATCTCCGGAAGGGCCAGGTACTGGTTCCACGTCACTGCCCCGAGCAAGTTCTTCGACAATGTCAATGTAGAAATTTCTCCTGCTCATTGGTTTGTCTGTGTTCATAGTGTAGAGGACATATGCGTTGAACAGTGAAATGTCAAGGAAATTATAAAATATCCTCTTCCAATATTTGCTGGTAGGACGGCTACATGAGAGGTGGTACACCGACTTGTCACTAACGTCCACCCCCCCCATGTGCTTATTGTATTTGTCAATAAGGATTGGTTTTATTGCCTGTTGTCCTTTCACACTTCTTATAAGCTTGTCCTCAGCATGACAGGCTGTTGTGAGGGCAAACACAGGTTTACGTTTAGCTTTTTGCCGATAGGAAACTAAAAGTACATCTTTGTGTCGGAAATAGATGCTTTCTTGAACCCCTAAGACGGTAGTTTTCAGAGTCTGGGCCAGGTATTGGGATTTCTTCCAAATAGTCCCACTAAGGTATGTGTTTCTTTCTAATAGATTTAGGGCCAGAGGAACTTTTGTATAAAACTGGTCTGTGAAGAGGTGATGTCCCTTATCGAGCAAACCACTTTTCTCCATCACTTCCATAACAACCTTTTGCACAAAAGGGCCTGGTTTGTCAAGTAGAAAGTCTGTTCCACTGTACATTTCTATATGAATAACGTAGTTTGTTGCTGAATCGCATGTTTCAAACTTCTTTATTCCATATTGCTTATGTTTCTTCTTCGGTAGGTATTGGATGAATGCGCAGCGATTTTTCATGCCGATGAGGCTTTCATCAAGGCACACGTTTTGTCCGGGTTCAAAATGCTTCTTGAAGGCATTATTTAGATGGTCTAATACATACCTGACTTTGAACCAAGGGTCAAAGTCAGGGTGGCCTCTGGGATAACCATTGCTTGATGTCAGTTGTAGGTTAGACATTATGAGAAGGAAGCGGTTACAAGACATGACCTTACTAAAAAAAGGAACGTTTTGTGATTCCTTTGTATCCCAGTAATGTTTTACATTTTTGGTCCTCAAAATCCCCATGTTTATAAAAAGGGAGAACCATTTTTTAATTTCTGAGATGGAGGAGTTCACCCACTTTCTCATCCTAGCTGTAGCCGATAGATTTGGATTTTCATTCAACTTTTTATTTGCATATGCATTGGTACATCTACAAATAATGTTCCATATGGCTTGTGTGAAAAATAGGTAAAAATACTCTATAGGTTTGCTATTTCTAGGAGGTAGATTCTTTGCTCCAGTATTCCTTCTTGTGAATTTGCTTTCAATCTCCTTCTCAGGTTCAGGAGGGTAGACTCTGATCCAAAGCAGGTTTTTTGCCTTAGACTTTTTAGGCCTAGGCCTAGGCCTACTGACATTTGCACCAGTATCATGCGAACTACAACTAGGTTGACTTACACTACTATCTACAATATTTACAGGATCAGGATCATCAGGATCGTCGTCATGTTCTCTATCAGAAGTGTCCAACTCTTCCCAATCTGGAACGTAATCATTACCACTACCACTTGAGAAATCAAGTAATGATTCATTGTCGGATTCATGTTGTCCTAAATCGAAGTCATCTTCAAAATTATCACCTTCACTGTCACTTAGGCCTATTTCACCAGATAAAAGTTCCCTAATGTCACTAGATCGGAGATCTTCTGCCATTTTTACCACTATTACAACTAACTCACAACACAGTTCATCAACAAAGGTACGCCATTTGCAACGCCAGCTGACAGCTGCTGTTTGTAAACGACATATACTAATAAAAATAACGTAAGAAACGGCACTTCCAAATAGTTGTCATGTAGCCTAATGTCCGCAGAACAGTTTGGTATAAGTATCAAGCGTCATCGATCGATCGTACGGCTGTATATTGAACGAAACTGACTGCCTGCAAAGCCGCCCGATTTCGGGCGGTTGACACTCGCCCGGTCCGAAAAAGCCGCCCGATTTCGGGCGGTTGACACTTGGAGGGTTAAAGGTGTGTTTAAATTATATTAGGAGTAGGCCCTAGACCTAAGTTTTAGTTAAATAGTTTAATCTGCTATGAACTGAAACCCTTGAAAGCTGCATATTCATAAGTTAGGTTTCATGAAGAACATAAGGCCTTAATCATTTTGAATGACCAAAGGTACCTTTAAAGAGAACACAAAAACTTATGTTGGTTCAGAATCGTAGGTAAACTTAGGGCAACTTACTTATTTACGTATTTTAGCAGAACATAGGTTTTTCTAACAAAAAACAAAATCAGCATAGGTTAAGCTTTCGTTTATGCCCACTATGTATAGGCCTATTGAGATGAATGGATTAATTTATAAAACTTAAAAACATTTGTTTGATCACTCGCACAACAAAATCAGCAGTATCTGCTGGTTCAAAATAGTGTTTCCCCACCACCACACCACACAAGGTTTAAATTCTCATCCTCATGTATTGTGATGATTATAATTCTTCTTAGTTCTTATGGGTCATGTAGGAGATGTTCTTACACACTGTTGTACAAGCACAGTACAATGTTGTACAGCAATGAATCATCACAAATAATAATGTTGGAGATTTTATAGATTGACAAACCTATATTACTTAGCATTTTCTAGCAATATTGCTGGTTTTAGTAATAAATTGAAATACATTCTTTCTTACTTACTTACTTACTTACTTGATACTTGATGTCTTCATCTTTGACCGACATTATCGGATAGATTGCGTCAATTTATTTATATAGGTATACAATTTATACAAAAACTAATATTTACAAACACTATACTACAGAAAAAATTGTGGCATGGCGGTTTTGATTAATTAGGTCCAGTTACCGTATGTCAGAATCAGGATGGAAAGAGTGGCTCTTCAAGCTCGGCCAACGAGTACAACGGCCTTTTCACCAGTACTTTGAGGAGGGTCTTTTTGAAAGGCTTAATCTTCAAGTCTCTAACAGTTTTGGGAAGCGTGTTAAAAATCCTGATAGCGTATCGTGGGTAGCATTTTAGAGTTCTGCTAAGACGACATCGGGGCATATCAAGGTCTACTGCATTCCGTGTCCCATAAGTATGCTGGTCACTCCTTCTGTCGAAGTCAGTTTCCTTTTCCTTCAGGAGACCAAGGATGTTATACACATACTGGCTGAACACAGTTAGTACCTGCCGTTCTTCAAAAATCGGGCGACAGTGGTCGTAATATCCCGCAAATGTGATCACCCGAAGTGCCATCTTTTGCAGTAGTAGGACCTGTTGTGCAGCTGAACAGTGTCCCCACAGGACCAAGCCATATGTAATATGACTGTGAAAGAGGGCATGGTAAACAGTCATCAGATAAGGTAGAGTGATTTCTGATCTCAGTTTTCTCAGAAGATAAACCACACGGGAAAGCTTCACACACACCTTTTCAATGTGGGAATTCCAGCTACATTTGGAATCTATTCAAAAGCCGAGCAGTTTTACTGGTTCTTCCTCCTCCACAGTTTTTAGGCTACATATCAGAGATTGAGTTTTCTCCTCGTTGATTTTAAGCTGGTTAGCATTAAACCAGTCCTTAGCCTGGGATAGCAGGTGTTCGGCCTCCAGTTTAAGCTGAGTTATGTCTCGACCTGTGGATATAAGGGTTGTGTCGTCCGCAAACAAAAGTGTTTGACCATTTAACCCCAGATCATTTATCATGATGGTGAAGAGAAGTGGGCCTAAAATAGACCCTTGGGGGACACCATGGTTAACACTCCTCATACTAGAAGATGCGCCATACAATGAGACGATCTGTGCTCTCCCCTGCAGATAGCTCGATAGTGTATCAAGAACACTCCCTCCAATACCGTAGAGTCTCAGTTTGTCCAAAAGTATGCTATGTGACACAACGTCAAACGCTTTGCTGAGGTCACACAGATTCAGGTGAACAGACTCATTGTTTTCAAAAGCGTCTGTGATTATGTTCGCTAGGTCGATTAGAGCCGAAGTCGTGGAGCGCCCTCTTCTGAAGCCATGTTGTGCGTTGCTCAAAAGGGTGTTTGCCTCCAGCCATTCTACAAGTTGCCTTTTCATAACAGTTTCAAATATCTTAGAGAAGGTAGGGAGGATTGATATAGGCCGGTAGTTTGCCAAATTTG